GGGGGTGGGGTGAGGGGCTCTATCAAGGTGCTATTTCAAAGGGTACAGGGTTCTGCCTGGGGCAGAGGATCTCATGATCAGGACCTTTACAATGTGCAGCAATGGGGTTTGTGGGATGGAATTCTGGGCAGAGGACTCAGCCTGGGCAAAGGCTCAGAGGCTAGAGCGCAGTGTGTAGTCGATGTGGTCACAAAGAGGATGTATGGGTTGAGGTGGGTGGAAGGAGAGGAGACTGGATTTTATCCTCCTGTTATGCAGGGTTAGCTGCTTGCTCCCATTCCGACTCATGGCTGTTTGCCAAGACAAGCCAGAGCACTTCCCCTAGGCTTCAGCTAAGAGGAAGGGAGTCATGCGCTGGAAAAGGTCTCTTCAGATCATTTTCCTTCACCCTCCCTCAATTTTACAACTGAAGAAATTGAGACGCCCAGGGGGACAGGACTAACCCAGGATCCTGCTGCTAGAAAGCGGCAGAATGGATACTAGACCCCCAGTTTCTCTAATCTCACACCTTAGGTGCCAACTCTTTTCCCAAACCTGGATCATGGTGGTTTTCAGCCAACAGGTTGAGGAAAGAAAAGCTGGGGACACAGTGCTTCCTGGAGATGTTTGAGATCTGAGAGGGGCTCTTCCAGAAGGGCCCCTCCTCACCTGCAAGAAAGGCAGACCCCTTTGGAATGGGGAAGGATTGAGCTATCAATGTGAACCACTCTTGGAAGGTGATGTTTTCTCCATCCCCTGAAGTATTAACAGGAAGCAGCTTTCCCCTGGGGCTTCTTTCCTATCATTTACCTGAGCTTATGGCTTGGTTGTCCTTGAGGCTATTGAGTCTTAATTGGGGCAGCATTTTATAGTTCAAAGGCCCCTGAAGAGATTTAATGATTTGTGTGTTACTCATTCACTTAACAAATATATGCCAGTGCCTGAATTTGGGGATACATTAGTTAACAAATCAGACAAAAATCTCTCCCCTCATGGGCTTATATGATAAGGGAATAAACTTAAATATGTGAATATAGCACATGCCGATGGCGAGAGGTGCTTTGGAGAAAACTAATGCAGGGAGGTGGGTAGGGAGAGTACTGTGCTGTGTTGGGACTTCACTGGCTCAGAGGGCCCTGAATGAAGGAGGCCTTACCACTTCCAGGTCTTTCACCACCAGAATTTAACCTCTGACCCTTTGCTTTGGAGGAATAATAGTGATGACAATTGTGGCACTACTTGCCAGACACCATGCTAGAGACTTTTCATATCTTATATCTAATCGTACCATGACCCTGCAGGGCAGCTTATGTCCCCATTTGGAATGAATATGAAGAAACTGAGTCACAAGATAATTAAGTAACTAAGCCATACAGCCAGGAAGTGACTCAGCCAGAGCTGATTGCCCTGGAGCAGCAGCTCTGAGGTCCACAGTTGTATCTGTAAGGCATCAGAAAGCCCAAGACCCTCTTCCACATCTGGAAAGCTATGTGGAATTTATCAGGAAAAACAAACTGATGGCAGGCCAGTCTGTCACTTCAATGCATCGTTAGCCTTCCCCACCAGACACTGGCTGCCTGTCCCTAGATAGACAGAGGCCACGTTTGGACATTCACACTGGACCATACATGCAGGATGTGGGTTTGGCAACAATAAAACCACAAGATTACCTCCCTGTAATGACTGCAAAGGGCCAGGAAATATTTGTGCCCATGTGTCTAAGCTTTTCTGGAGGAGGGACGGGCATCTCTTAGTCTGGGGATTATTAGTGTTGCTCATGGTAGCAGAGTTTTGTGGATTCCTCCCTGTGCCCAGCTTTGGGCCTGCTGTGACCCACAGGTGGATTGGGAAGGGTCAGGTGTGGCCAGGGCCCACAAGGAGCTTGAGGTCCCGCCAAGGAGATCAGACATTCTCACAAGCCAAGAGCAGGCAGGATGACAGCAGCATGGGGGTCACCAGGCCCAATTCCTCCTGACTTGGCCACGAACCCTCTGAGCCCATCGCTGCCCACGGCAGGGGGCTGGCAGGGGAGCTCTGAAGTTCTCTCTAGTTTTAGACTGTCTGAGGTAAAGGTGCAATGATGAGGGTGAGAGAAGTGCAGAGAGAACACAGAGAAGGCAAATCAGAGTGGGCCCCCGAGCTGGGAGGGGAGAGAAGAGGTGGAGGGACAGGAAAAAGAAGCCGGGTGAACATGCCTCTGGCCTCCAGCAGGCCTGACTCAGTNATGAACATGTCTCTGGCCTCCAGCAGGCCTGACACAGTGGATGGCTCAGGAGATTTGGCTGCTTTCTTCTGTACAGCGCTGTGAAAAAGGTAGCTATAGACTCCAGGGGGAATGAATCCCATTCCCTTCCTAAGAGCAGCTCTTGGAGAGCAGCCATGAAACCTGGATGATGGGCCCCTCTCAGGGGTGAAGGGCACACACCTCGCTCCGTGGATGGTCTTGCCCAGGGGCCCCCGTCTTCAGGGTTTTGCTGAGTCCTGTTCGTGTGGACATGTGGTGAGTTAGAAGGAAACACAACCTGTCTGGGGAAGCCCTGACACAGAAATGGAGGAGAGGCATCCCCCGCCCCCTCCACTCTCCATTACTTTGCAGGACCCCAGCCCAGGAGCATTCAGGGCCAGGAAGAGGCTGTTCACTGGTCCTCATTATGCAGGGACCCGCCCCCTAATCCCGCATCCCCCTTCTCCCCCCAGTGCTTCCTCTTGAGAGGCAGCTCCATGAGGCCGCCCGCAGGAACAACATCGTGAGGATGAAGGAGCTGATCAGGAGAAGAGTCGACGTCAGGGCCAGAAACCACGTGCGTAAACAAGCTCCTCCGGTTCTGGCAGGATAGGGACAGTGTGGTGGGGGCACCTCCATGCAGGAGAGACAGTTTATGGAGCCTGCCTTTGCATGTGTTGACTTGGGGGAGGCTCAGGTTGTCCACATTGTCTCAAGGTCTTTGAGGCCTCACCCAAGGTCAGGGTCAGTGTGATGAGCCAGGGCTTGGGGAATTCCAGAACATGTACTCTTAACCCCTGTGAGCCATCTGAAAGTCATATTCAAGGAACAGAAGTTAGAGCCAGGAGACCAAGGATCAAAGGTCAGGAGTCAGATGCTGGCAGATAGGGGCAGACACCTGGAGGGACAAAGGTGGAGTGATGCCTGTGGTCAGAAGTCCAGGGGTTTGAGACCAAAGGAGACCAGGCCAAGAGAGGCTGAGCATGCGTGAGGTGGACATTTAGCTTAGTTCTCTGAGGGCCTCCTGTGCCCACTGAATGTGTAAAGCTGCTGTGCGCCCCCACTTGCCCTCGGGGACTCAGAGACCAGGCTGGGAGGCAGATGAGCCCCACTGATCAGGCCTCAGGGAAGCTGCAGGTGAGGTGGTCCACAGCCCAGCTGGGGAATAGGACAGAGGGAAAAGCTATTCCTTCTGGTGGGGGACACTGAGGATAGGCCTGAATACCACCTGGGGTAGCAGCTCCTCTCCTTGGGGCTCTGGCTGTTAGGAGCACCTTAGAGGAGACGCCAACTTGGGTGCTAGTTGAGGCTGAAAAGGTTGGATGCAGGACTTCTGACTGCAGCAGAGGCCGCTCTGTCTTGGGTGACACAACAAGGGTGTGACCGGGGTCTTCAGAGCCTTCCTAGGACTCAGGAATTCTGGGGTTTTCAGAACACTCGTCCACCTGTTTCCTGGTGGTCCCCACTCACCTCTCACTCATTCATTGATTAATTCAACCAATAAGTATTTATTAAGGGCTTACTACTCCGTGCCAGCACTGTATTGGGTCCTAGGGCCAGAGCAGAACCCACGGCAGACGTGATGCCCGCCCTCTTGGAGCTGATAGTCCGGTGGGGGGGGACTGACATTAAACAGAGTGTCACAAACAATTCATTCTCACTGTGATGAGTTGAGAGCATGTGGGCGTGGGAGGGGCCCGCCCCGCCTGAGGTTTTTGGTAGGAGCCAGTGAAGAGGACAGTGTTCAGGCAGAAGCCTTGAGAAAGGAGCAGCTGGTCTTCAGGGACACCCCACAGAAAATTAGTGTTTCCTTTTGTTGTCACCTCACAAGCAGAAAGCTATGGTGGGACGATGGCTTCACCAGGCGAGGGCCAGAGACCAGGATGAACTGCCAGGGTCGTCTGAGAATGAGGTGGGGGTCAGGCCCCTTCAGGCCCATTCTGAGGGAAGGAGGCCCCAGGGGCCCTCAGGGACTTGGAGAATAATCACAGGCCACAGGCCAGACTTAGAGGGGGAAGCTGGCATTTCTGAAAAGCTGTGGGAGGTGGGGCCAGGCCAGGCCAGGCCATTTATCCCAAGAGCCGTGGGGAGCTGTGAAGAGTTTTAGGTGGGGGGCAGATGGATCTAGTCATTGTGTTTTACTACATTCATTTCAGCTGCTGCTGCGTGGAGCAGGAGGGGGCCAGGATGGGACGGGAGCCCCAGTCGCTGGTCCCCAGAGCCAGCAAAGGCCTTTCTATCCTGCAGACCAGCTTCCTGGCCTGGTGGTGGGGAAGGTGGGGTTGGGCCAGGCAGCCAGCCAGTGCCTCACAGGTTCCTCTCACTCCTGGCAGGTGGACAGGGTGGCTCTGCACTGGGCTGCAGGTGCAGGGCATGAGCAAGCCGTGCGGCTGCTCCTGGAGCATGAGGCTGCTGTGGATGATGAGGACGCGGTAAGGGACCCCTGTGGCGGCGTGTCTGTGTGTGCATGTCTGTCTGTCTGTCTCAGGGTGGGGAAGGGGCATCAGAGCCCACTCTGGATCTAGGAGCAGCTGTCGTTGCCAAGGTTGCCGCTGATACGCAGATGCCCAGGTGCCGAGTGGGCAGGGAGTCTAAGTCTCTAAGGGGCTTTGGCACTGCACTGGTCCCATTTATCCCCTGTGCAGTCATTATAAAGGTCTCTCCATTTTCAAGGGCCTTTCAATTCTCGGAGAGCCTTTTCGGCTCCTCCTGAGATCACGTGAGCAAGGAGAGGTATGGGCAGTGGAAGAGATAATTGGGTGGTTTAATAAAGGCCTTATTAGTAAAGTCATCGGAAAGCGTGTCTCTCATGGTATGCCACAAGGCTCTGCCTGGCTAAGTTTTAATCAACAATTTGCATGAGGACTAACAGTCTTACTTAATAAGTTGGCAGGCAGCACATTGCTGAGATAGTGCTGAAGAATAACAGGACCTACAAAATTAGCGCTATAGGTTTGGGGAAAAGGCTGAATTTGATAATGACATTTGGCAGGGATACATTTAAGAGTCTAATTTTTTAAGAGTCTGAATTTAAATTTTAAAAAATTGTATATTGCTCTGGCTGGTGTGGCTCAGTTGGTTGAGTGTTGTCCCATGCACAGAGAGGTGGCCAATTGGATTTTCGGTCAGCGCACATGCCCGGGTTTTGGGCTAGATTCCCAGGAGGGGGCGTGCAGGCGGCAGCTGATGGGTGTTTCTCTCATTCATGTTTTTCTCTCTCTCTCCCTCTTCTTCCCTCTCTCTAAAAAAATCAACAAAAACATATTTTTTAAAAATTGTATGTTGGATACAGCATAGGAAATATAGTAATAATATTCTAATAACTATGTATGGTGTCAGATGGGTGCAAGATTTACTGGGATGATCACTTAGTAAGTTATATAATGTCTAATCACTGGGGTAAACACCTGAAACTAATATAATAATGTATGTCAACTGTAATTGAAAATAAAAAATGATTAAAAAATAAAAAATAATACATTGATATAAGCCCATAGGTATCACATTATAATTTTTTTTTATTCTCACCTGAGGATATTTTTTCCATTGCTTTTCAGAGAGAGTGGAAGGAGGAGAGAGAGAGAAACATCAACGTGAGAGAGACACATGGACTGGTTGCCTCTGGCAGGCACCCCAACCAGGGCCGGGGATCAAGGCTGCAACCAAGGTACATGCCCTGGGCTGGAATCAAACCTGGGACCCTTTATTCCGCAGGCTGACTCCCTAACCACTGAGCCAAACCAGCTAGGACCCTATCACATTATAATTTAAATAATTATCATTATTTAAACAATTATCATAGTTGTTTTTCTTTGTAATCTAAACTTCCCTCAAATGCATCTATAATTAAAACTGTTAACTGTAACAGCAAAATTAAAGTAAAATTATTTGAGATCGAATCCAACAAAACAAAACAAAATTATAAGCTTTCTGGCAGATTCTTAGCTTTCACAGAAATCCTTTTCTTTGTCCTCGCTTCTCTCTGCTCCCAGGCCCCACCACGAGGAGGACTTGATTACAACCTACCTCTCCACTCCTCTCTGCACCTGCTTAGGCCTTATTTAGAGATGACTCTGGAAGGAGAATGTCTGGAATCCTTACTCTGAGTTTCCCAATAAAATTCTGGAAGCTCTTTTGTCAGCCCTTTGCCCAAAAAGACCCCCACTATCACCACTGTACTCTGTGACTTCTTCCTTGAGGGATGGACTGAGAAAAGAATATATGAGGGAGAAGAGTAGGAGAGTACTTTTATAAATCTGTTTCCTTTGCAAATAGCAATTCATATATCTTAAAAAATAAGAAGGCTGATGGGTATGCCTGCTTTAGTAACAGGAGGATGGAGGAGACACTGGAGAAGGGAAATCTATTGTTGATCTCTAGTGATATCCCACAGGGCTCTGTCCTGGGAAGTTCCTGGAACTAGGACCGTGAGGTGTCCCTGGGGCTCCCAATGACAGGAAGCTGTGGCTCCAATGGCTCTCCTCCCCCAGCCACCAGCCTTGACCCTTTTAATTCCCAAGCTCCTGTGGGCTCTCCCCCTGGACTCTGCCCTAAGCTTATTCAAGAAAACAAGATATGAGGGAGAAGAGTAGGAGAGTACTTTTATAAACCCCCTCCCTCATCTAGCCAGCCCACAGTTACTGATCTTCTACCAGGAGCTGAGCTCTGAGCCAGTGCTGGGTCTCCTAGCCTCTGGCTCTAGCTAAGACCAGCTCCAGTCCCCATCTCAGGAGCTATGGCAGGTCCAGAACCTTCCCTAAGATTTCAGGAGGAAGGCCTTAAATTCTTGTCACTGCTGGCTCTTACTTTCAGCTTCTGCTCAATTTTTGCCATCCTCTTGAAATTTTGCAAAGAACCCTTTGTCTCCCATAGATACAGAGAACATTTGGGAGGTTGCCAGATGGAAAGGGGATTGGGAGGTTTGAGTGAATGTGAAGGGATTAAGAAGTATAAATTGGAAGTTACAGAATAATCACGGGGATGTAAAATACAGAATCGGGAATATAGTCAATAATATTCTAATNGTGAAGGGATTAAGAAGTATAAATTGGAAGTTACAGAATAAGCACGGGGATGTAAAATACAGAATCGGGAATATAGTCAATAATATTCTAATAACTACAGCATGGGGCAAAAGTGGGTTCACAGTTGTTCATATGGAAAATAATACAGTAATTAATAAATAATACAAGAGTAAACTCTGTGTTTCGCGTACTCACAACTGTAAACCTACTTTTGCTCCATCCTGTATGTATGGTTCCAGATGGGTACTAGATTTATCAAAATGATCACTTCATAAGTTATATAAATGTCTAATCACTGGGTTGCACACCTGAAACTAATATAATAGTGTATGTCAACGGTAATCGAAAATAAAAACATTTTATTTTATTAAAAAATTTTTTTTTAACAAAGTCACTTTTTCGTTTTATTATTATTATTTTGAATCTTCACCTGGGGACATGCTTTTATTGATTTTTGAGAGAGAGAAAGGGAGAGGAAAAGAGAGAAAAACATCAATGTGAGTTAAACATGGATTGGTTGCCTCCCGTATGCACCCAACTGGGGGATCGAACCCTCAACTTGGGTATGTGCCCTGACCTGGAACCGATCCTGTGACCTTTGATTGTATGGGACAACGCTCCAACCAACCAACCACACTGACCAGGACTTAAAATTTTATTTATTTATTTATTTATTTAAAAAATATTTGTATTGATTTTTTTATTTTTTTTTTTGAGAGAGGAAGAGAGAGAGAGAGAGAGAGAGAAACCCATCAGCTGCCTCCTGCATGCCCACTACTGGAGGTTGAGCCTGCAACCCGGGCATGGGTCCTGACTGGGAATCCAACCAGCAGCCTTTCAGTGCACAGGACGATGCACAGCCAACTGAGCCACACCAGTCAGGACAAAAAATTATTTTAAAAAGTAACCTTTGTCTCTACCCCGGCAGCACCCCTAACATGGATCTCAGTACTTCTCCCTTATTTCCACAGAGACCCCGTACACAAGGCTTTTGGTGTGGAACAGGCTGTTCGAAATTAGAGATAGAGGGGATTTACATGAAAACAATGTAAAAATCCTAAAACCCTCTTTTACATTCCTGTCCTTTAAAGCCCTTTGGCACTTTCCTTGTCTTGGACTCAGCCTCTGTCCCATACCTTCCTTCAATGCTGTCATTTTCTTCTGCCTCCCGCCAATTCTTGCCTGTTTCTAAAGCAGGGCCGCGAAACTCTCTTTGGATGTTCAGGTGCCTGCTAATCAGTCAGGTCCCTCTGGGTTTCACCTTTTATCCTAACCACTTGTAAAAGCTTTTACCTAAACACAGTCCCTAAGAGGAATTCTGGTGCCCTCCACTAAGACCCCTTTTCCTGTCACCCCTCCTGGTGAAGCCAGTGGGGAGGCAGCTGTGACCAGGGTGTTCCATGAAGGTGCCAGGATGGCACCCCCTCCCTCCCCACTTCCTCCCCACCCTTGGTCCCTATCCAGATCCAGACTGAAACGGAAGCTGATTCAGGACTTGGAGCTAGCCAGCCCTGTCCTCTGGCCCCTGGCCTAGGAGGTGCTTGGAATGTGTGGGGTGGGAGCAGATTGCGGGGGGGCACTAACCCCTTAGTACTTCTTGAGACAGGCTCCTCATTTTTGCTCCCAGCTGGACAGGGGAGCATTTGCCCACTATGGACCTGTTCCTTATGCTTGTAGGGAGATTCTTCGCCACTCGCTGGGGGACGTAAAGCCACACATGACCCTGTTTCTGGTCTATGAACACCTGACTTACAGACACACTTTGGGGTTGCCCAAAACTGAGGGAGTACAGCACAGCCTCAGGCCAAAAGTGATGATGGTCTCCCCAGGCCTCTGTCCTGCTCAGACCTGGCCTGGTACCACAGCTGAGGAGAGACAGCGAAAAACCATCTCAGGGTGGCTAGCTGTCAGTGCATCCTGGGAGGTGAATTCGGAGGCCTGGGGGTGTTCTTCACAGAGCAGGGAAGGCTCAGGGGAAGTGGGGGCTAAGGCTGCCCTCAGATGCAGAACCCCACAAGGACCAAGATCAGAGAAAAAGCTCTGATGACCCTGGAGCACTTTGCAGATGTTGAGGAAGAGCATCCTGCAAATGCGCTGGGCTGCCATCAGAAGTTCTGAACATACTCTCAGTTGCTCCAAAGGGCCGGTGGGGTGGAAAGCACAGGGGTGCAGATCTCAGGAGAGCACAGGGAGGGGCTTCTCACGGTGAGCAGCGTGCCAGTGCAGGGCTGTCTCCTGCAGTGGCCAGGTGCTGCCCCGCCACATGTGCTCACTTAAGCCATCAGCCTGAAGGATGTTCTGTGGGAGATCAAATCAATGATTCTCGGATGCCAGTCCCGGAGGAGGTCTTCACCGGTCACAGCAAGTCAGAAAATAAGAACGATGTAATGTGTTTTTCATGAAAACTNTTGATTCTCAAATGCCAGTCCCGGAGGAGGTCTTCACCAGTCACAGCAAGTCAGAAAATAAGAACGATGTAATGTGTTTTTCATGAAAACTGTATTTGGAGAGTATATTTTGAGATTGGGTCCTTTCAATTTTTTTGTGTTAAAATGGTCCCTCTTTATGAAATGATGGTGGCAGTAGATGGCAGCTGTTTTATTTAGCAAACACTGACTGTCCCCTCACCCTCGAAAGTTTGCAATAGTATATCAACCTCTATTTTTTAAAATTTCCTCGACATTAAATTCCTAAGCCCGGGAACTCCTTGGCTTGGGTGGCACTTATGGTCCCTTACAGTTTGTATGACTTTGCAGTGCAGCCACGCCTCCTCACATTCTCCCCCCTCCTCCCGTGTCCTCTCCCCTAGTTTGGGATGAATGCGCTTCTCCTGTCTGCCTGGTTCGGCCACTTACGGATTCTTCAGATCCTGGTTAACTCCGGGGCCAAGATCCACTGTGAGAACAAGGTAAGCCCTTAGCTGGCAGCTTCACCCCACTGCCCCTGCCCGCTCTGTTCCCCCGGCCCCCGACTGCGCAGGTCTGCCCCCACCTCTGACACCTGCCCTATCGCTGCCCCATGGGTCCCCCCCCACATGCCTCTGCCCGCCCCAGCTTGCCTCCTGAAAACCAGCCGAGTTCAACCCTGGGAAGCTGGGACACCTCTTCCTTCTGCTCCCCCATCCTTTACCACTCTAGACGTTAGGACAGTCTACGGTCTGACCAGCCTCCTTACTCACGGAAGAGGAATAAAGTAACACCCTCAGAGGCTAGTAGGGGGATTAAGTGAGAGGGAGGTGGGGACTCCGCCCAGCTCCCCAAGGGCCCTGCCTCCCGTGTGATCAGGGTATCGGGATAGGAAGAAAGCACTGGATACCAAACTCTGGGACGTTGTGCACGTTACTTTGCCCCCCTGAGTCTCAGTTTTCCCCTTTGGAAATGGGGATGCTAGTACCCACCTCCCAGCTGTGGGGGAAGCAAGTGCAGTGCTGTGTATAAATTACCTGGCGCAGTGTTTGGCGTATCAGGGAGCCCAGCAGTCCCTCGATGCTCACTGGTGTGTGCTGTGGTTTGAGGGAAGCCCAGCCAGTCAGAGTGCCTGAAATCCCCCCACAGTGGTTCTAAAGAAAATGCAAACATCTTGCCCAAACGCTGTCAGCCAGGGGGGCTCAACCTGGGTCCTTAGAATTAAGGGATCCAGGGATTTGGATAGGAGAAAGAACATTTTTTTTCATTAACCTCTCCTGGAAATTTTAGCATTTTTTTCAATGATGAATGAATGCAGGGGTGGAAGTGGCATGGTCTGCTGAGGCCAAGGCTGGAAAGTCACAATACTGTGTCTACCACAGTCTATTGCTCAAAGCCCATCACAGGGAAACAGCCTAGGATTAGGAAGAGGAGAATATTGGATTCCCCTTCGGAGAAGAGCAGTACAGTCCGTCACTTAGGTATTTCCAAGGGTGGGAAGAATTGTTGCGACCATCTTTGCAAACAGTCCACCCAGTCTTACTTTCAATCCCTTGTTCAAGATCCTTCCCAAAGGTATTCATCTCACCTTTAGATGAGCTGTGGGTTGGGTCAGAAGACTGTTCATTACTCCTGTCTGCTCAGCCCAAAGCGTTCTCTTTCCCTGGCTTACCTTGTGGGTCATTGGTGATATTTCAAGTTTTACTAAACTATAGACCACATTAAAATTCCATCAGTTTTAAAAATTAATATTCTACAGTGCATTTAGTTATCTTTCCTCCCTAGTCTCCTCTAATCTTGTGACGGTTTCTCAGTCTTTCTTTGTTTTTCACAACTTTCATACTTTTGAAGAGCACTGGTCCAGTATTTTGTAGAAAACCCTTCATTTTGGTTTGTATGATGATTAGATGGGGGTGACAGAATTTTGGGAAGAAGACCACAGACGTCAAGTGGCTTTCTCACCTGCTGCTATCAGGGGCATATGACACCAACATAACAAGTCCTATATGTGTGTGTTTTTCATGCCACCAAGTAATTAATTCAGTTCTCCACAGACACTGACCAGGTGTCCCACAGATTTAACTCAATTCTGCCACTATCTACCTGGAGACAGCACCAGATTCCACAGGTTAAGGGCTTAGCCCTACAAGACTGCTCTACTTCAGATGCCAGTCCCAAGTCCAGGTTGTTATTTGGGCTTCTCATGAACCCCTCCCCAGGTTTGAATAATTTGCTGGAGCAGCTCTCAGAACTCAGGAAACCTATTTACTTACTAGATTACTGGTTTACTATAAAGAATATTAAAGGATATGAATCATCACTAGCCAGATGAGAGATACATAGGGTCAGGTCCCAAACAAAGGAGCTTCTTGTCCTGGAGTAGTTTGGGGCCTAGCACAAGGATGTGTTCTTGTTCACCAACCCGGAAACTCTCCGACCCCCTCCTTTTGGGTTTTTGCAGAGGCTTCATTTTATAGACGTGATTGATGCTCTCCTTGGCCATTGGTGCTTGATTCACTCTCCGGTCCCCTTCATCCCTGCACATCAGGGGATGGGACTGAAAGTTTCAACCTTTTAATCAGGGCTGGTAACCCAGGCAACGAGCCCCCAACCTTAGGTTAGGAAGGGGCTTTCTCGGTCACTCATTAACATAACAAAAGACACCTTGATCACTTTCACCACTTAGGAAATTCCAGAGGTTTTAGGAGCTCTGTTCCAGGAACAGGCACAAAGACCAAATATGTATTTCTTATTATAAATCACAGTATCACTTTTGGTCAGTTAAAGTAGAGTCAGCCAGGTTTCTCCACTGTAATGTTAGCATTTTTCCGTAGTCTATTGTTAGAAACTCTTTGTGGTTTTCATTTGCATTTCAATAATGACTAATGATGTCAGATGTCTTTTCATGTCCTTATTTGACTTCCGTATGTCTTCTTTGATGTCCAAATTATTTATATATATATACATATTTAAAATTTATTTTATTGTTGAGAATAGTACAGATGTCCCCGTTTCCCCCTTTTGCCCCCTCCACCCATCTCCCATCCCACTCCACCGCAGGCCTTCACCTGTCTATTGTCTGTGTCCAAATTATTTTTGAATTGTATTGTTTAATTTCTCATTGATGAGTTTTTAGAGTTCTTTATAAATTTTGGATGCATTTAAAATAAATTACAGCCTGGCCAGGCATGGCTCAGCAGTTGAGCATCGACCTCAGATCCAAGAGATCGAGGTTCGATACCTGGTCAGGGCACATGCCGGGATTTCGGGCTCGATTCCCAGTTGGGGGCATGTAGGAGGCCGATCAGTGACTCTCTCTCATCATTTATGTTTCTATCTCTCTCTCCCTCTCCCTTCCTGTCTCTGAAATCAATAAAGATATATTTAAAAATAAATAATAAAATAAATTACAGACATCAATGTACTTCCCTTTAAAACTTCAGCATACATATCATTAACTAAGGTTCAATTTTTTTACTTACATACAAGGAAATACACAAATCTTAGATTTATACCCTCTGAGACTTGACAGATGCTACTCCTTTATAACCCAAACCACTGTCAAGATGTAAAACATTGTTCTGATGCTTTTTATGAACGCTTGATTGTTGCAATCTATTGGAAAACCGGTGCTTTAAACATCCTAGCTGTAATGCAAGGCCAGTGTAGAGGCCCTGGGCTGTAAATACAGCATTTGCAAACCTCCCTCACTTAAGTTGCTTCTGGGGCCAAGAGACCTTCCTCACAGTGTGTGAGAAGGGCCTCCCTTTGCGGACTGCAGGGACCACCCTGGGCTTGTTTCAGGACGGCCTAACCTTACTGCACTGCGCAGCCCAGAAAGGCCATGTGCCGGTGCTGGTGTTCATAATGGAAGACCTGGAGGATGTGGCCCTGGACCATGCTGATAAGGTGAGAGTGCATCCATCATGCCTGTCCTTTCCATTGGGTCTGAGGTTCCTGGGGCCACTCGTGTCCATTCCTTGAATGTGTCCTTTGAGATATGGCTAGTGCAGACTGGACCCCGCCTCAGGGAGCTGCTGGTCTAGAAGGGGCATTAAGGCACAAGTGAGCAAGACACAGGCAGAAATGTGGTTCCTTCAAAGAGGCTTTGAAGGACTAGACAGGTTAGAGAAGGGAGCCACTGCTTTCTGTTCCCTGGAGGAGGTGGCATTTGGTGAATGAAGTGAATTCTGTCAGTAAGATTGGAAAGCAGAGGGGCATTCCAAATGGAGGAGAGAGCATCGCTAGAGCTTTAGAGGTAGAAAAGGGCCCTTTGTGTGTGAGTTCAGATGGGTCAGAATATTGAGAGTGAGGGCTAGAGGGATTGTTGTGGTCCCTTATGGAGATCTCGACCCCTAGCTTCAAGACTCTGTTCCCTATTCAGTTGGCAGGAGGGAGCCACAGGATGATTTCAGTGGGGGAGGGACCCACCTAGTGGGGTCTTGTTGGGAATTTCTAGGCAAGGTGTGTGGGGCGAGGGGAGGGGAGAGTGTCTAGGGCAGGAGAGGCCACTGCAAGCCCAGAGTGGTTGGGAAAATAGAAGCCAGGAGGGCAGGGCACAAGGTTCTCTCTCTTCTCCTGGTCAGCTGGGAAGGACAGCGTTTCACCGGGCTGCTGAGCATGGGCAGCTGGATGCTCTGGACTTCCTTGTGGGCTCTGGCTGTGACCACAGTGTCAAAGACAAGGTACTGTGACTGTGGGTCCCAGGGGAGGGCCAGGGTTGACTGGGTTGACGCTGGCAGCTCACCTGGGCCTGCTTCTGACTCCAACTTGCCGGAGGGGCAGGGGCCCAAAGACCAGAGTGTGTCTGCTGTTGATCAGCAGGCATTCTTTTAGCACATGTTATGGGCCAACCCTGTGCTACAGGTGAGGAGCACAAAGATGCCCAAGACATAGTTTCTTACTCAAGGAACTCAATGCCACAATCTTAGTAAAGAGCTATGATCCAATGTGGGGAGTCAGGATTAGCTGGTAGCCTTCCTTCCATCTGGCTCTCCTGCCACTGAGGCTCCTGCCCTGCCCAGCCCATGCAGGATTCAGAATTCGAGTGCCCTGTTATGGGGTCCCAGCCACCTGCAGCTTCAAAGGACAGGATGTGGATGCTTATAACCCAGAAGAAGAAAGCCCTGCCCTGTGTTCATAGCCCTGCTCACTGGGGGCACATGTCTGGCTCGCCTCAGTTCATTTGCATTTCTTTGAACACGGGGACTTCACCCTGTGGCCAGATTCCCACAGCCTGCTCCCTGCTTGCTGCAGAGAACTGACTAGACCATCGCATGCACATCTGCAGAGAGGTGGGGGAGAAGCAGAACAAAACTGTTGGGATTTTTCAAACTTGATTTTTATTTTTAATATGCTATGACTGTCATCATAAAGGAAATTTAAATGTTTCATTGCTGATCCTATAAGATAGTTATAGCTGTTTTATGTGCTTGTGAATATATCATGGGTGAGCAGGCTATGTTTCTTACTCTTAAGTACTGCTTTGGCTTTGGTGTATGTTCACATTCTCATCGGGCCCTTTAAAGATCTATGCTTAAATGTGAATGTCCCCTCCTCACAAAGGTAATGAGACAGGCCACAGTAAAGAAGGAGCTTGAGCTAGGAGACCCATATGACTGGTTCAGCTAGATGTGTCCCAGGGGCCTTCGGGGTGTGAAGAATGGTCGAAGCTGCATCTGCCCTTGTGGATGCTTCTGTGTTTCCTCTGGGGTCCTTGCCAAGGTCTTCCATCTGTGGTTCCTCTTTAGGGACTTACCTTATCTCTGGTCACTTCCAGCTGTCCTCCTCTTTGCTGGGGCCCCTTCACCCTCCAGGTGTCCTCTGCAGTAAGATCCCTTTAAGGGTAACCACAGCAGGCTGCCTTTGGTGGGGTCACTGCTAACACAAAGAACATTGTACCTTTTGCCCCACCTCATGGAGCCACCTCTCTTGGCTCTGTCACTGTCACCTCTGGACTTCTCACGTGTGAGGCATCTACCAGTCCTCTGGCTCTCAAGTTCCAGGAGACAAACGTTAAGCTCTCATCATATTATTTACTCATTGAACAAACATCTATTGAGTGTCTGCTGTGTGCCCAGGTCCTATTCTAGGCACTTGGGGAAACTTCAGAGAACAAAATAGACAGAAATCCCTGCCCTGTGGTGCTTATGCTCTAACAATAGAGTCAGACAATAAACAATAAGCATAGTATACAAGTAAATTATAAAGGTATTATTTATAATTATACTGATAAGCTACCTATCAGTACTGTGGAGAAAAAGGAAAAGAGAAGTCACTAGGATAAGGGGATCAGGAGAACAGGAGTGGGAGTTCCAGTTTTAAATTGTGTGGTCAGGGTGGGCCACATTATTGGACAAGAAGCTAATAATGTCCTGAGCAGAGACAAGGTGGTGAGTGACTGGGCCATGTGGCTGCTTGGGAGAGTCTCTGGAACCATTGCCTTGAGCAGAAGGAAGGGATGGTGATCTGTGGTCCCCGGGGAAGGACCAGCTTTAGACAGGAGCTTGGAAAGTCGGGTGGTTTTTTTTCTCTTTTAAGTATGTGTCTGCCATGAAGTGTAAGGAAAGAGAGACCAGGACTTGGCCCTTGAAAGTGCCCCGGTTATAGTTTTTGGCACAGTTCTCAGGGGCAGAATGGCTTTGACCCAGCATTCAGGACTGCAGCTTATCATGGACTTGCTCTGTGACCCTGGAGATGTCACTTTGCCTCTCTGGACCTCAGTTTCCATGTCTATAAAATAAGGGGTGGCTCCAGCAGGTCCCCAGAGTCTGGGAAGGTCTGTAATTCTACCAGCCCCTTCTTCCAGGAGGGGAACACAGCTCTTCACCTGGCTGCTGGCAGGGGCCACCTGGCTGTGTTGCAGCAACTCGTGGACATCGGGCTGGACTTGGAGGAGAGGAATGTGGTGAGTTGCCACCTGGGTGATGCAGAGATGGGTGACATTCACTCCCTGCCTTCAAGGAACCCATAGTCTGGTGCGTCCTGATTTTCCTTGGTAGAGGACCTAAAGCCAGGAGTTGAGGATATGTTCTTGAACTAACAGCCCACCAGGAAAAGCTAAGCAGCAGCACAAAACTCCAGGTTTAGTGGGGCACCAGGCATGAGGGATTACCAAGAAGTCATACACAGGGTGTGTGCTCACAGAAGAGAGAAGTCTCGGCGGCCAGGATGGTCGGGGACGGCTTCCTGGAGTAGGAGGGAATGGACAGAGCAGGGCGAGGCTGCGTGGAGGGCAAGGAGAACCTGAGCAGAGTGGTGGAGGAGGGGCGAATGCACCACATGCCCCTCAAAGTGAGAAAATCAGGTGTGGGGCTCAGGAACCACAAATAACCGGGTCATTGTCCTCAGTAGCAGGGTCATTGTCCTCAGGGCAGTGGAGAGCTCACAGAGCCCTGGAGCCTGGCATGGGGATGTCCTCTGGTCTCAGGCTCTGGCCTCAGCCTCCTGCCGTCCTCATACCTCTCTGCGTTTCAGGAAGGTCTGACTGCCCTCCACGCGGCTGCTGAAGGGATCCACCCCGACTGTGTGCAGCTCCTCCTGGCGGCTGGGAGCAGCGTGAACGCCCTCACCCAGGTAGCCAGGCTTCCCCGCGGCCTCCCCCGACTGCCGTCTGCCGTCTGCCTGGGCTACCGAGCTGGGACTGAGTCAGCAGCAGCAGGCACAGTGACTCCTGACCCTTGTGTGCACAGAGGCTACGAGGCCGTAGGCCCAGCTTCTGGTCTTGGCTAGTCCACTGCTGAGCTCTTGTGATCTGGGCAGGTTACTTAACCTCGCTGAGCCTCTTTTCCCAGCTATATAATGGAGATGATATATACTCACCCTTTCACATTTCCCTGAGGATTAGACACTTAGCACAGTGCCCAGGGCATGGTAGGAGCTCAGTACCTTTTCGAGTCTTCCTATTGTTGGGCACTTGATAGTTCACAAAGTGCCTTTATAACTATTACCTCAGAAAATTGGCCCCATGTTACAAATGAGGAAACTGAAGCTTACAGAGGGCCAGTGACTTTCCCGGGTCACATGCTAAGAAACAAAGCTGAGTCGGAGAAGCCTATTGTCCTGGCTCCAGAGCTCTCGGAAGGTTTGCCCCACCCACTGGGGGGCGGGTCACCAATATGAGACCAACCTATTGGGGGGGAGGGCACACCAGTTCTCAGAGCTGGCGCCTGGGTGCGCCTTTGGGACAGGCCTCTTCTCTCCCTCATCCTTAAGTCAGCCATTAGAAACTCCCCCCATGTCCTGGAGAGAAGGATTGTGGCCTTTCTTTAGGTAGGGGGTTGGTGTTTTTGTTTTGTTTTGCTTTTTAAAAAAATATATATTTTTATTATTTTCAGAGAGAGGAAGGGAGAGGGAGAGAGAGAGTTGAAACATCAATGATGAGAGAGTCACTGATTGGCTGCCTCCTGCATGCCCCCCACTGGGGATCTAGCCTGCAACCTGAGCATGTGCCCTGACTGGGAATTGAACCACGATCTCCTGGATCCTAGGTCAATGCTCAACCCCAGCCAGGCTTGCTTTGCTTTTGCTTTTTAGATCAGTGACAGATAGTCTTTTCTTTGGCTGGTTAAATTGCTTCAGGGTCTGGTATTATTTCTTCTAAATTTTAATAGTAAGACAAAATAGTATTGACAATAAGTAATAAAATATAAATAATAGAAAAATAGCTTAAAAACAGAGGAATTAAAATGGCATGCTAAAAATATGTATTTGACATGAAAGAAACAAGTCAAAGAGAAACAGAAGAACAAGAAAGATAGGAGACATAGAAAATAAATAGCAAAATGGCAAATGTAAATTTAATAATATCAATGTTCAACCACCCTAAGTGTGAATAATGCTTTATAAGCCACAAAACACTTAATTTACAGAACTCCCTTAGAAGGTGTGGGAGCCACTAGCCTAGGGGTATGGTGGGGGGGACACTGAGGCTCAGAGAGGGAAAGTAGCTGCCTCAGGGCTCCTAGTGTGTCCTCTTGCATTGTACCCAGTACTGGGAGGTTCCGTAACAGAGGAAGCAGAGGAATTTAGAGACAGAGATCACGTCCAGTGGGTGATGGTCATTGGTGGGGGGGTGCTGCCCACTCCACTGGGCCTTGTGCTCCAGCCTTGGCTCGAGGTTTCTGGCAGAGGCCATATTCCATCTCTAAATTCCCATCTATTGAAGTGTCATGCAGCAGGGTCTCTGAGGAGGGGGCAAACCTAAAGTGATTGTATTTCCCACTGGGAGGTGGACTAGTTCCCACCTATCTTGTGCTGTTAGGACATTGAGAGGGTGACCAACTCGTCCTGGTTTGCCCCATATTGGCAAACTAGGAGAGTAGGTGCCTGGCACAGAGTGGAGGTACGTATATGAGATCCTTGTTGGGCTAGGAGTGGGCTCTGACTGCAGGAGAGCACTCAGAAGGCTGATCCAGATGAAGCCCTCGCTCTGGCCCTGCCAGCCCCTGCTGGGAAACCCGCTCCGGCTGGGCAGTGCGTGCTGGGTGGTGTGTGCCCTGTACTGGCAAGTCTTATTTGTTCCCTTCTTTGAAAACCATCTCTTCAGAGTCTATACTCTGCGTGTCTTTACCAGCTGAGGAATTGTGCAACCTTTGGCCTATGTTCCAGAATTTGTGAAGAAAGCAAGGAAGGCTGAGATCGTAGTGAGCTCCTTTCACCAGTCACTAGGCCTGGGCAAGCCATTGATTTCTCCAGCCTCAGAGTTTAAGAGGGATAATAGACCCAGGTGTGGGGGGGCGGGGTTGCGAGAGAAAATGGAATAATGAATCCCCAAGTGCTCTGTAAACCCCATGTGATTCCTGTTTTCCTCTAGAAAGAGCAGAGCTGCCTCCATTATGCAGCCCTCGGAGGCTCTGAGGACGTGGCCCGGGCCCTCATCCACTCAGGGGGCTGCACCAACGTGGCTGATTATGTAAGTGTGGGGGCCTGGACTGAAGGGGGTCCCCACTGCAAAGTCTTCCACGTCCCCATTGATTTGAGTTAGGGTGGGGGCCGGGACCAGGGCAGCTGGCAGCACGTAGGAGAGTCAAATAAGGTTCTAGTGAAACAGGATTAGAAACCAAGCTTCCATTTCCTTCCAAGCAAAATGTCTCTCATTTATCCATTGGAGCTTAGTAATGATCTTATTACAGATTTAGCCTCTTGGTTCTTTACTTTCTTCCCCCGTTATGTTGCGGTACACACAGTATATCTTAGGCAACGGTATAACCTTGTGGTTAATCATGGACTTTGGTGTCAGACAACCTGGCTTTGAGGCCTGGCTCTGCCACTCACAAACTGAATGACCTTGGGCAAGCAGCTTTGACCTCCCTGGGCCTCTGTTTCTGTATCTATAAGTACTGTTATTATTCCCATTCCATAAATGAAGAACTGTCTATTGTTTAAATTAGAAAGAGATCATTTCATATGGCTGAAATAAATACTCTATTTACAGTTATTGTAAAAACAGTGTAACACAATTCATTGGAATATAGAGAAAAAAAGGCATCCTTAACCCTGACACCCTAGTAAAGCGATAACTTTTCATTATTCCCTCCAGTTGCACCTCCAGCTAGAATAAATCCAGGCTAAGGCAGAATTCTGGAAGGAGGATGCTTATTTGTTTGTCCCCATCAAATGCCAGAATCTTGACTCCAGTCCAGTGGAGTCCCAGCCCAGGTACCCAATGTTGCTGCAGAGTTTTCCTGGTAGACATTGTTTAGGTGCTGATCATGCTAGATGTGGTCCAGTGTCCATATCACACTTAACAGATCCTCAACTGTTGGATATTTAATTTAAGTTGGTTCTGACTTTGCCACTATAAAGAATGATTTCATGAACATCTGTATGGCATAACTTGCATTATATATGAATTCTCCAAACAGGGTTTCTAGGTCAGGTAGTAAAAACATTTTTATGATTTTTTTTTAATCCCACAAAAAGCCATAACTTTATTAATGATAGAAGCAGTACAAATTTCAAACCAAGAGGCAATCACCCCTTGAAACACACACACACACACACACACACACACACACACAGTCCTCATTTTCAGATAGTTAACAGTGTGAATTTTATAATAGCATTTACAATATCATTACTGTTGTTCTTCAGGGCTTGGACTGACTTTGCTCTTGACACCTTTGCTTGTGACATGATCAGTTCTATGTCCTTAACTCCCACACCTGTTTCATCAGCCTCTTCCTCTTCCCTCTGCCCTTGGACAGTTGGAGTCTGTGTTTTCTCGAATGTCTGAGGCAGCTTCACCTTGAACTTTGAACTTCGCAGCAGCTGCTGGCAGGGCTTGCTGAGATAGGGCCTCGATCTTGGCTTCCCCCAAAACTACGTAGGTATCTGAAGCTGGGCTCTTGTCGACATCTGGCTTCGTGATGACAAAGAGGATTTTCTTAGATTTCTGGGTAGTAACCCCCGTAACCCGTCGAGGACTGAGTTTGGACATAGCTTTCCCTGCCTTCTGTTCACTCAGCTCTGCTTTGCTCTACTGACGGGCTCTTCGTCGGTTTCCGCTGCCCCCGCGCTGCCAGCGGGGCTGCTGCGTGGCCGCCTGTGTGGAATCCTGTTCCCCGAGCTCTGGTGCTGATGCATCACCGTCAGATTCTGTTCCAGACCCTGCCTCGGCCTGGGGCTGTGGCAACTCCTGCTCCGTAGGGACGGTTTCTGTGGCTTCGCCGGGCCACACAAACACGGAACCGAGATCTTATGATCTGGCGCAAGTTGAATTGCTTTCCTGAAACATCACACCACATAGCTCCCAGTCATTTGTGAGTGACCTTTCACCAATATTAACCATTGTTCTATTAATTTATAGTTAAATGATTCCTTGTTACTGTTTTACTTTGAATCTCTTAGATTACTATTGACTCTGAACTTTTCCCATTAATTTTCCTAGTTTGTTCTTCTGTTATGAGTTGTTTCTTTAGATCCTTTGTCTATATTGGTGGGGGATTCTTTGATTGTGTTTTTAACCAGTTTTTATGAGATCATTGCTCCTGGACCATTGTTTATGTTGTTTGCTCTTACAACTTTTTGACATATTGAAGATGTAAATTTTTATGTAATCAAAGGTATTTTTGATACAAGTTTTGAATTTTAATTTAATAATCTTCTAGTTGTGATTTAATTTTTGATGTTTCTCTTTCATCCTTCTAAAAGGGACTCCTGTGGCCTTGGCCGAGTAGCTCAGTTTGTTAGAGCAATCATCCTAATACGCCAAGGTTGCAGGTTCAATCCCCAGTCAGGGCACATACAGGAATCAGCCAATGAGTACATCAGTGAGTGCATAAATAAGTGAACAATAAATCGATATTTCTTTCTCTCTCTCAAAATCAATAGGTAAAAAATAAATAAAATGTACTTTTGCATATGGTATGATACATTATTCGATAGATTCCCCTCCGATTTTTATATATCTATCTCAAGTACATTTATTAAATAATTCTAACATTTCTTAGTGCTTTTCATTCCTTCTTTTATCACATATTTATGTATATTTTTCATATTTATATTTTGATATATGATGGACTCTATTTCTGGGTGAATGATTCTCTTTCACTAAGCGGTATGTCTAATCTTGAGCCATAAACATACTGTTTTATTGTTGCCTTATAATTTGTTTTAAAGTCATCTAAACTAGTGTCCCTTAATCATTCTTTTGTTAGTATAATCTGTTATCCTTTTATATTCTCTCTTGTTTTTTCTTCCAATTGAAATTTAAAGTAATTTTATCAGTTAAAAAATCAATTTTAAGACTTAGATTAATCACTGTACCATTATAAACTAATTGGAGATAATTAAAATTATTTTAATATTTGGCCTTCCAGTGCAGAACACAATATGCCTCTCTATATATTCAAATATTAATTTAAAGCTGCCAACAAAGTTAAACTTTAAAAATTTGTTAAATTAATAAAATATAAAAGGTTTAGAAAACAAAATAAAATCATCCTTATTCCTGCTACCCACACATACTTTTTCATTTACTCGGTGACAATCTTTTAAAAAATTACCTGCTTTAGTATAGTTAGAATGATAACGTACGTATAATTTTGTGCCCAGATAATCACGAGCATGTCCACGTTGCTACATAGCTATCGGTGATGACATTTGGTCTGATGACGGAGGTGCCATGAGTCATTAACCTCTTTATCTACAGTATAGCGTCAGGTTTACTTGCCAGTACAAGTAGTACAGCTTCATGCATGGAACTTTTCTTCTGGAAAGATTCCCAGAAGTGGGAATTTGAGATAAAATATTGTGAACATCTTTCTAGCTCTTGGTATATAAACTGAAGCACTTCCTAAAAGCCTTGTGCCAATATGCAGAGCCCCAGCGGTGTGTGCGCTGCACTTTCTTATTGTATATTAGGTTTTACATTTTCTCCCACTTAAAGAAAAGTCCATAGTTTACATTAGAGTTCACTCGTGGTGTTGTACAGCCTATGGGTTTGGGTAAATATATAATGACATTATACTATTGTACAGAATGTGTTCATCCCCCCCCCACACACACTGCCCCAGCCTCTGGCCGCCACTGCTCTTTTTACTGTCTCCATTCATAGTATTGCCTTTTTCAGACTGTCACTTAGTTGGAATCCTACAATATGCAACCTTTTCAGATTGGCCTCGTTCATGATTGGCTTGCATTTACGGTTCCTCCGTGTTTTTTAATGGCTTGGTAGCTCACTTCTTTTTAGCGCTGTGTAATATTTCATTGTCTAGATAAAGCACAGTTTATTTATCCACTCACTTACTGCAGGACATCTTAGTCACTTCCAAGTTTTGGCAGTTATTAATAAGGCTGCTTTAAACACCCATGTGTGGGTTTTTATGTGGCATAAATTTTGAATTATTTTGGGTAAATGCCAAGGAACATGATTGCTGGGTCATATGGTAGGAGTATGTTTAGTTTTGTAAGAAACTACCAAACTGTCTTCCAAAGTAGCTGTACATTTTACATTCCCAGTAGCAATGGATGAGAGTTCCTGTTGCTCCACATCCTTGTCAGCATTCGGTGTTGACAGTGTCCTGGCTTTTAGCCATTCTAGTAGGTGTGTACGTCACTGTGTTTTTGTGGTGCACCTCCTTACTTTCTGTTACTACAAGATGCTCCAGACTTAGCCTGTTTATTTCCTGCCCCAGTCCTAGAATCAGCCATTTCTCCAAGCAGCCCTGGTACCTATTATTGGAGAATATACACATGCTATTTTTACATAACTACATCTTTAATATATTTCCATATAAATATATATTAAAACATTCCTCATTGTTTTTTATACCTGCATAGTATTCCATTGCATGGATGGACCATAATTTTCTAAATTGTCTCCTCTATAAATGTGGATTCTAATCTTTGGCTTTTACAAACAATACTGCAACAAAAATCTGTACATATATCATTCCATATCTGTGGAAGTAAAGCTATAGAATAAATGTCTTGAAGTAGATTTGTTGGGTCAAAGAGCACATACATTTGCACTTCCTATAGGTATTGCCAAATTTCAGTCTCTATGGCCTGTATCAGTTTACACTATTTCCCCACAGCTTTGTCAACACATTTGGCAAAACTTTTGGATTTGTGCCAATCTGATGAGTGAGGAATTTTATCTTCCTGTATTATTAATTTGCATTTCTCTTAAGAGTCTTCTGTATTCCCTTTTCTATCAAATGTTTGTTCACATCCTTTGACCATTTTTCTCTTGGGTTATTTTTTATCTTGTAATGGTTTGTAGGAATCTGTTGAAGGACATTCGTGTTGTTTTCAGTTTTGGACTATTATGAATAAAGCTGCTAGGAACATTCGTGTACAGGTTTTTGTATGAACATAAGTTTTCATTTCTCTGGGATAAATGCCAAGCATGCAATTGCTGGGTCCTATGGTAATAGCATGTTTAGTTTTATAAACAATTCCAAAACTGTTTTTGCAGAGCAGCTATATCATTTTATATTCCCACCAGCAATGTATGAGTGATCCAGCTCCTCCACAGCCTTGACATTTGTTGTTGTTACTATTTTTTTATTTTAGCTATTCTGGTAGGTGTGTAGTGACGTCTCATTGTGGTTTTAACTGCACTTCTCTAGTCGCTAATGATGTTGAACATCTTTTCAGGCGCTTATTCGACATCGGTATATCCTCTTCGGTGAAATGTCTAGTCATATGTCTTTGCCCATTTTCCAAATATTTTTTCTACTGTAGAGTTAAAGAGGTGTTCTTTGTATATTTTAGAAATAGCCTTTGTAAGCTATGTGATTTGCAAATATTTTCTCTTGCCTGTAGCTTGTCTTTTCATCCTCTTAATAGGATCTTCTGCAGATTAAAAAAAATTAGTTTGATAAGGTCAATTTATCAATATTTTTCTTCTATGGATCATATTTTTGGTGTCAAGTCTAAGAACCCTGACTAGTCCTAGATCCTGAAGTTTTCCTCCTATGTTTTTTTCAAAAAGTTTTACATTTTGAGTTAATTTTGTATAAGGTGTGAGGTTTCAGTCAAGTCCCCCCCCCCCGCAGAGGTCCAATTGTTCTAGCACCATTTGTTGAAAAGGCCATCTAACCTTTCTTCATTGAGTTGCTTTTGCACCTTTGTTAAAAATCAGTTGGCTGCCCTCCCCTTGCTGGTTTGGCTCAGTGGTTAGAGTGTCGGCCCTCGGACTGTAAGGTCCTGGGTTCGGTTCTGGCCAAGGGCACGTACCTCGGTTGCAGGCTCCATCCCTGGCCCTGGTCGGGAGTGTGGGGAGGCAACCAATTGGTGTCTCTCTCACATCAATGTTTTTTTCTCTCTCCCTTCCACTCTCTGTGAAAAGCAATGGAAAAAATATCCTGTGGTGAGGATTAAAAATAAAAATTTAAAAAAATCAGTTGGCTATATTTGTGTGGGTCTTCCCCCTTTTCTTAGCATACTGTTCACACTGTTCTGCAGTTTTTAATAAACGTTTATATTAGAATATATTTAGTTTTACATAAAAGTTATAAACGTAGCACAGAGAGTTCTCATATACCCCACACCTAGTTCCCCTATCTCTACCATCTTACATTAGGATGGTATATGGGTCACAATTAATGAACCAGTGTCAATACATTATTATTACCTAAATCCATACTTTTTTGAGATTCCTTAGTTTCTACCTCCTGTCCTTCTTCTGTTCTAGGATCCCATGCAGGAGACCACATCATGTTTTGTTTTTTTAATCCTCACCCGAGGATATTTTTTCCATATTTTTGCTTTTCAAAGAAAGTGGAAGGGGAAGAGGAAAGGAGAAAGAGGGGAGAGAGAGAGAAACAGAAACATCAACGTGAGAGAGACACATCCATTGGTCGCCTCCCGCTCCAGTGCCAACCGGGGCTGGGGATAGAGCCTGCAACTGAGGTACGTGCCCTTGGCTGGGATCGAACCCAGGACCCTCAGTCCACGGGCCAACACTCTAACCACTGAGCCAAACTGGCTAGGGCCACATCACATTTAATTGCCATGTCTTCTTAGGCTGCTCTTGGCTGGGATAGTTTTCCAGACTTCCATTGTCTTTGATGACCTTGACAGTTTTGAGTAGTACTTAGGCATCTTGTAGAATGTGTCCCCCTTGGGGTTTGTCTGAATTTTCTCTCATGATTAGGCTGGGGTTACTAGTTTTTGAGAGGAAGGTCACAGAGATAGAGTCTTTTTCATCACCCCAAGTTCAGGGTACCTGCCATCAATATGATCTGTCACTATTGATGTTGGCCTTGATCACCTGGCTGAGGGAGTGTTTATCAGGTTTCTCTGTTATAAGGTTACTCTTTTTCCCCTTCCCATACTGTGCTTTTTGAAAGAAATTCACCATGCAAAGCCCACATTGAAGGAATGGGGAGTTTTATGTTCCACCCCCTCCAGGGCAAAATAGCTACAGAAATTATTTGGAATCCTCCTGAGTGGGAGGTTTGTTTATTCTCCATTTACTTATTAATTCAATCAATCATTTATTCATATCAGTATGGACTCATATTTATTTCATACTTGGGATTATAATCCGATACTACTTTATTTCGTTGCTCGAATGTTTCAGCTTTGACCATTGGGGGCCCTTCAGTTGGCTCCTGTGTCCCTTGACGTGGCCTCATCACTGTGGGTTTGTTTCTTTAACAGACTTTACTTTTAGAGCAGTTTTAGGTTCACAGCAAAACTGAGCAGAAGGTAGAGATTTCTCATGCTCACTCGCCCCCACATTCATAGCCTTCCTTATTATCAACGCCACCCACCAGAGAGCTACATTTATTACAATTACTTGGGTGTTTTTATCTTCTATATGATTTTTAAATTAATTCTGTGTTTTTTGGGAGAGAGACTGTAATAACCATTTTAACTTGTCTAGGTTAAAACAATCACATTGCTTACAAATAATGGTATCATTAAAATCTTTTGTAATATTTAGAAACCTTTCTCCCCCCCGTCCTACACTAGTATCATCAGTCGTGCGCATTCTTGTTGTATGTGTGTGTTCTGAATTGTAACCTTGTTATACTCAATATGTGAGGGTGTTTTTCCACAATCAGTACAGATCTATACTATCAATTTTACTGGCTTTGTACTGTTGCACAGTATGTGTGTCACTCTGTCACCTAGAAAAGGGGATACTGTGGCAGTATCTTCACTTTGTCAAGCACTCAGGTCACAGGGGACCGTAGGGAAGGGAGTCCTCTAGCCTCGAGCGACGCTTTGGATGAGTGTTGTTGGACTTGGAGCGAGACCTCTGTTCTGGTCGCAGCCGGCTCCCTCGTTCATTCGTGTCACACATGAACAGGTATCAGCGTCTACCTAGGTGCCGGGTTGGACGTTCAGTAACACAAGGCAGCTATTAGCTCTGTGTCCTTTGGCAAGTCACGTACGTTTTCTGAACCTCAGTGTTTCCATTTGTAAGATGAAAATACTAATAAATACCATCCCTATATACTTTCTAGGTTCATGTGTAGGTTAAATGGGATATTAGAGAACATTAAGGTGTTTCTAGAAGGGACCTTAGCAAACGTCACTTGCGAGATGCAAAGCAGAGAAGGAAAATGAGTTGGCCAAAGTCACATAGTGAGTTCCTGGCATAGCAAAGTCTCAAACTTGAGTCTGCAGGAACCCACCCACCTTGAGGTTCAGTTTTTAGACCCCAGGGATTCAGGCTTTGGGGCTGTAAGTGCCTCAGGCCAGCCACCACACCCAGAAGCGCTCTCAGCCCCCAGCACCCACCTGCAGCTGGGCAGTCCTGAGGGACCCATCAACTGATTTGTGTCTCCCTCACCCCCAGCAGGGAGCCTCTCCAATGCACCTCGCTGTGAGGCACAACTTCCCCGCCCTGGTTCAGCTCCTCATTGACGCTGGCAGTGACCTGGATGCCACGGACAAAGTAAGTGGCTGCAGAAACCCCTTGGTTCCCACAGAACCTCTGGGCGCCTCCCCAGGCTGGCTGGGCTCTGCAGCTGTCTAACCAGCACGGCCCAGAGCTGAGGAGTTGCTTCCATCCGTAGCTTGTAAAAAGCTGTTTGAACATTTGTTGAAGGTCGCGTAATTTTTATTAACCAGTCCCTCCCTATTTTGAACATTTTGGTTTCCAGGTTTTTGCAGTGATATATATAACACTGCAGTTAACACCTTCCTACATTCAACCTTTTCGTTTCATTGATTTTTTCCTCCCTTAGAGAGAATTCCCAGGGCAGGGGTGGCTGGGGTAGTCTTGTGTAGTAACAAGAGGCTTCCAAGTCCCAAGGTTGTGATCAGTCAGGAGCCCTTTTAAGTCCCTGTCCCCACAATCCACCTCCTAACCATACACTCCTCGGTGCCAGCACACACAACCACTGGGGGTTCAGTTTGGCAGGATATAGCACATACCGTTAAAATGGTCAGTATTTTTACATCTGAGAATTGAACTTCAAGAAATACATTAAGAACTCATGCACAAAGATATTCACTGCAGCATTATTGATCAGTTTTCAGTTTGAAAATGGCCCAAATAGTTAATAATAGAGTGGTTGGGTAAATTATAGTACTGACATAGACTATTATGGAGCTATTAAAAATTGTGTTTGCCTTGCTGGTGTGGCTCAGTTGGTTGGAGAGTTTCGTGTACACCGAAAGGTTTCAGGTTTGATTCCTGGTCAGGGCACATACCTAGGTTTTGGGTTGGGTCCCCGGACAGGGCATGTATAAGAAGCAGCCAGCCGATGGATGTTTCTCTCTCACATTGATGTTTCTCTCTCTTTCTAACCCCCCACCTCCCTTCATCTAAAATCAATAAACATATCCTCAGGTGGGGATTTAAAAAAAAAGATATTGTTGTTAATATGTGTAAAGAGTTATGTTAGGTATAAAAATAGGTGCAAAATGTACATATTCAGGATCTCAAATATGTAAAGCCAACAAACTAAGAACATTCTGCATTTAAAAAAAAAGACTAGAATAAATATCATTATAGAGGTTGACTTAGGTGGGCTAGTGAGTGGTATTTTTTTGTTCTTTTTCCTTTTTTATTTTTATCAACTTTTCTCTGGTATTAAGTTCATGATTAAACCCAGTTTACCCTCCCTCATAACTTCTTAGAGAAACTTTAAGGCCCAGTTGGGAGTGTGCCCACCTTGGTGCATCCTGGCGTTAAGCACAGGCCACTTCTACATGCTCTTCTTTTTTTAAAAAATATATCTTTATTGATTTCAGAGGGAGGAAAGGAGAGGGGGAGAGAGAGAAACATCAATGATGAGAGAGTCATTGATCGAGCCTGCAACCCGGGCATGTGCCCTGACCGGGAATCGAACCCTATCGCCTGGATCCTAGTTCGATGCTCAACTGCTGAGCCACGCCCGGCCGGGCTACATGCTCTTCTTTTCCCTGCCCCCTTGGCTTCTCTTCCAGAGGCAGCAGACGCCCCTCCACCTTGCTGCGGAGCACGCTTGGCAGGACATAGCAGAGATGCTCCTGGTTGCAGGGGTTAACTTAAACCTGAGAGATAAGGTACCTCTACTCACACCAGCCTCCCTTTCAAGTTGTCATGGCTCCCTCTTTGCCAGAGACCCTGCTGCAAATGCCACCACCTTTCAGTGTGTTCAAGGCTTCCCCTTTAGAGACCACCTCAAATGCATCCTCCTCCAGGAAGCCTTCCTGCACCACCACCTTCCCCTGCCTTCACTGAGGGCCCTCAGCACTTGGCCCTCACCTTTCCTGGTCTAGGCCTAGGATATGGTTATCTTCAGTTTCATGGCCCCCATCAGACTCAGAGCACTGTGAGTCACCTGGTGGGTAGGGGGAAGCTTCTCAGCACATCCTGCCTCTGGGGTGACTACGTCCTTAGTGTCTGGAGGTCTGAGAAGAGTGAAGACTTAGTATGAGGCTTGTGAGGGGAAGGGTATTTGCACATGTAGCCCAGCAGGGCCCTTGGGATGGTGTGGGGAGGATTGGAGGCAGGACCAGGCTCTGAGGCTGGACATGGAAGGGGGTCCCTGCTTTCAGCTGGGCCCCAGAGCAGCTGGCCAAACTTCCCATCTCTGCACAGCTTCCTTGGGGTGGTTGAGGCCAGCACTGTGCGAGAGGCCTGGATCAAAGGGCTGGGAGCCTAGGAGGAGGTGGGCAAAGGTGACACTGAGCCCAAGCCCCTTCTCTGGGCTCTGGTTTCATCTGAGAAGTGGGGCTGTTTCATAGGTGGTGTTGAAGTTATGTAGGCTGAGTTTCATAAGTTAAGGCTTCCTAAATTCTAAAGAACACGGAAGGTGGTGGCCAGAATTATTATTATTGCCCTATTCTAACTGTGACTTTTCCTCCTCCCTGGTCATGACCAAAAAGCCTTCTTACTCTCCAGTGTAGATGGCTGGAACCCGCTTTCTTTGGGCAGCAGGGTTTGTAGTCACTGCTAGAGGCGACTTCAGGCCCTCCTGTGGGAACTCTGGCTTCCCTTCTCGCTCCTCCCTTGCAGCAGGGGAAAACTGCCCTGGCCGTGGCCGCCCGCAGCAACCACGTCGGCCTGGTGGACATGATCATAAAAGCCGACCGCTTCTACAGATGGGAGAAGGTACCGGGCCCTGCGCTTGCTCTCGCCACGCTGGGAAGGGAGCGAACTTGGCTCCGGGTGGAGCTGGCTTTGACCAATCCAGGGGCCCCTCAGTGTCCAAGGGGGCGATGATCCCTGCCTTACCTACCCCCAGGGCTGTTTGTGAGGGCCTGGAGACGGGGTGCATCCATGCCAGTGCGGAGAGACTACCGGACGCTGCAGTCGCTCCTGGTTGAGGGATGCATGCATGCATGCGCGGGTAAAGGGGTGGCGAGTTGGTTCCAGCTCACCGCCATCTCCAGGTGATTGGAGTCACTGCCTGGGGTGTCGTATTCAGGCGACTTTCTCTGTGGACGAAAGTGTGTTGGGAGCGATTAGTGATGTCTGCTGTGGAACTGGGAAAGGAGAGTGGCTGATGGAAGGCCAGCCACCAGCTGTTCTTGTTGTCAGCAAATGGGGGTGGGTAGGGAGTTTCTTGTTGTCTTTGAGGGTGGCTTATATACACAGAAAATAATTTTTTACATTTACTTGAGTTTTAAAAATTAATACTACTCTCATTACAAATTTAAAAACTAATTTTCCTTAAACTTTTTAATTCATTTTATAAATCTCATTATTCTATGTATACAACCTAGTAAATTTTAACAACCACTTTTAAAGAAGTTTTAAAAAAAAAAGTTTTTATTGATTTTAGAGAGAGAGGAAGGGAGATGGAGAGAGCGAAACATCCATCAGCTGCCTCCTGCCCACCCCCTTCTGGGAATCAAGCCTGAAACCCAGGCATGTGCCCTGACTGGGGATCAACCAGTGACCCCTTGGTGCATGGGGTGACGTCCAACCAACTGAGTCACACTGGCCAGGGTTCAAAGAAACCTTTCGATTAGTGTTTGGCCTCATGTATAAATTTAGTTCATAAAACCACCATGAACATTTTAAACCAAATGAATAAATTTAATATAATAGATTTTCTTTTTAAGTACTTCAAATGCTTCCAAAATTTTAAAATTATCCCAGTAAACACAATAAATTAAACCTATAAATAAAATGAACTTAATTCAAATATTTTAAACATTCCAATATTGTTTACAAACTTAGTAAACTTCTCTACACCTCTCAAATGAAAAATCACTATTCCCAGATCCATTGGTGGGTAACCAGTTTCAAGAGGAATCATGAGATATTCTTTTTCACTGACATGCAAGAGTCTCATAAACATTACAACCCCTTTACAGCAGATGACTCCTAAATGTAACCCCAAGATATTAATACGAAGGATTTAATGAAATGATTCATTTCTGTGCTTAATTCTAACCCATGTCACTCTTCAAAAGTTCTCAACACTAGGGCAGAGGTGCAGTTAGGATCACGAATTGCCCCTTCCTACCTCCAGGCCAATTCAGTCAGAATCTCTGATCTGGGGACTAAGCATCAGTAGTTCTTAAAGCTCCCAGATGATCCCAATGCACAGATGTGGCTGAGAACACGGCTCTAAGGAAACAGTTTTTACCACCCAGGTGAGACTCCTATGTCCTCACCTCACAAGTGACTGGCCAGACACTTGACCAGGATGTAACATGCAGACATCAGAGTGATTTTTCTCCTGTCAGCTTTTTAAAAAAATGTTTTTATTGATTTCAGAGAGAGGAAAGGAAAGAGAGATAGAAACATCAGTGTTGAGAGAGAGTCATTGATCGGCTGTTTCCTGCATGTCCCCTGTTGGGGATCAAGCCCGAAACCCGGGCATGTGCCCTGACTGGAATCGAACCGTGATCTCCTGGATCATAGGTTGATGCTCAATGTCTGAGCCACACCGGCCAGGCACTGTGATCTTTTTAACAACTAGAACTCTGCATCCACTTTCTTTAGCGAGATTTACTGAGGCCTTTGTGGGTTTAATTTATGCTATTACATCATTCTTTTATAACCTCTCATTTTGTTACCTGCTTTGCATAGAATTCTGTAACCTTACCCTTTACTACTTGTTGGGGTTTGGCAAGTCCAGTGCCTTGTTCTTGGTTTTACCCACAACTGCTGAGTCACTCTACTGACACCTGTACTATATAAAAACACAGAGAAAAGAGAGGAATTGGGAAGCCTTCATGCAAGAGGTGGCATTTGGGTCTTTTGACTATGGCATAGGAGTTGAGGACAGGGAGGTGAGGACAGGAATTCTGGATGGAGGAACAGTGTGAGCTGCTTGGGTTCCAGAGGTCAAGGCAAGCATAGAGGCAGAAACCAGAGTGGTAGACAGTAAGCCCCAGGCCGGTGATGATGCCAATTCCCAGTTCCCAGTCCAGGATCACGAGGGAGAGCCTGGCAGGGACTTCCCCCAAATGGCTGCTGCACTTTTGGGATCTGCCCCACAGGACCACCTCTCACTCAGGGACCCCAGTGATCCCTCTGGGAAGAGTTTGACCTTCAAGCAAGACCATCAGCAGGAAACGCAGCAGTTTCGCTCTGTGCTGTGGCGCCTGGCCTCCAGGTACCTGCGACCCAACGAGTGGAAGAAGCTTGCATATTGCTGGGAGTTCACTGAGGCCCACATCCATGCCATCGAGCAACAGTGGACAGGTACCGCCTTGCCTTGGCACCCCGGAGCAGCCAGCAGGCAAAGGGGCAGGGGCGCTTGAGGTGTGTTCAGTTTTCCGTGCTTCTGGGGGAAAGCTTGTGCAACCACAGCCCAGCCACAGGAAGCCACGTGCCATTTCCAGCACACTGCGTGTTTTTTCGCTCCTCCAGGCCTTTGCACAGGCTGTGCCCTCCGCCTTCCCCTCCCCATGGTCCTGTGAACTTCACATTCTTCATGCATCAGCCGGAGCTGACACCCATCGTTCATATAGGAAACTAAAGGCACTCCCAGCAAAAAGAAGGGGAGCTGCTGTCGCCACTGTTATTTAACATCTATTTGGAAATTTTGGCCCTGGTACTAGGCATGAAAACAGAATTAGAAATGAGTGCAAATATTGGAAAGGAAGAGAGAGATTTATTAATTTCAGATGTTATAATTACATACCCAGGAAGTACAGAAGATTCAACTGAAAAACTCTTTGAATAAAATAATTCAATGAAATGGCTAAATATATGATAAAATATACAAACACCAGAGTATTCCTATGTACCATGGATAAGTGGGCAAAATATATAGAGGCTTTTTTTAAAGAAAAATATATCTTTATTGATTTCAGAGAGAGAAAGGGAGAGGGGGGGAGAGAGAGAAACATCAATGATGAGAGGGTCATTGATCGGCTGCCTCCTGCACGCCCCCTGCTGGGGATCGAGCCCGCAACCCAGGCATGCGCCCTGACCAGGAATCGAACTGTGATCTCCTGGATCCTAGGTTTATGCTCAGCCGCTGAGCCACGCCCGGCCGGGCCTTGGAGGCATTTTAAAAAAGATACTACTTTTACAATAGTGTGTGTTCATAAAAAGAAATATGAATGACATATGAGTAAAACAACACAAATTAGTTGGACCATAAAAGAAAACTTGGGTAAATGGAATGATATTTTGTATTCCCAGCTGGAAAAAGTGTCACGTAGATATCAATTTTTCCCAAATTATATTAAAAGTTTGATCCAGTTTTAATCAAATGAATACAGGTTTTTGAAGCTTGACTGAAGGATTCTCTAGTTCACACGAAAGAATAAAGAGGGAGGCGGCTCTAACCCAACCAGACTCAATAGTTTATAAAGCTAAAATAATTAATATAGAGAGACACCTGACACAAAAACATGCAAACCAATTAGTGGAAGAGAACAGGGTGTTCAAAAGTCAACTCTACTACAGATAAGAACTTCCATAGATGATAGAGGAACCCTGGGGGCAAAAGCTAGTGACTAAACGGGTTGAATGAAGCTGCCACACCAGGGCAGCACCGTGAAGCGCCTGCCTTGGGCCCACAGAGGGCCCGAAAGTCAGGCGCAGTGGAAGGACTGGCCCGGACCCGGTGGCTGTGTCCCCATCACTGTGCCTGAGCGTGTGCGTCCCCAGCTGGGGGAGCAGACTAGTCACAGAGTTTTAGTAACAGGTTAACCCCACCACTGGCACTGAAGAGTGTGAACACTTATTTTCTAAACGTGGTTGTCCTTTGTAACCACCTGGGAAGCTTTGTCACCGCCCAGCGCCTAGGCTGCCCCCAGACCCAAGTTTGTTGGAATCTCTAGGGCGGGGGGGACCTAGGTGTCAGTGTTTCCTAAAACTTCCTAGGTGTTCCCAGTGAGCACTTACGCTGGAGAATCACTGGTGCAGGGGAAAGAACGTGGCCAGCTCCGCCTCTGACTAAGCTGCCTTCTCATCTGTAGGTTAGGGCCACGAGCGTGCAAGGCACAGGTTACTGAGCAGCCGGAGACGAAGCGGACAGGCATGTGCCACATGTGTCACGGTACCACAGCCAGTGCCAATTCTTTCTCTCCTAAGAGTGACACCAACAGCATGTGTGGTGGGTGCTCAGGAGAAAGCTTGGGCTGGAGAGGTTTGAGGGTCCCCAGTACAAAACCTCCCCCCGCACCCCACATGAGGCTGCTCTGCCCCTCTCCTCCCCATCGCTGGGCTGAACTCTGCTTGAGCACAGAGAGGGGCCCGGTGTTCGGGAGGCAGGTCAGGGCGCCATAGACACAGGCTTAGCCCTGGCTCATGCTAAGCGGCCAAGTTGGCCCTTCCTTTCCTCTTTCTCCTTCATGGTCCTCAGGCACCAAGAGCTACCAGGAGCATGGCCACCGGATGCTGCTCATCTGGCTGCATGGCGTGGCCACAGCGGGAGAGAACCCCAGCAAAGTGCTCTTCGAGGGCCTCGTAGCCATTGGCAGGAGGGACCTGGCTGGTAAGAGCATCCCCTGCCCAGCTCCTGCTCAGGGCGGCGCGGGGCCCCCGCTGGAATGCTGCAGAGCCTCCCAAGAGTTGCTCAAACCACAGTGCCGCGGTGCTGGCTCTGAGCCCCGCCGCTTTCTGGAGCTCAAGCCGAGCCTTGAGCAAATCACAGTGCCTCCTGGCCCTGGTCTCCCCATCTGTGCAAAGAGGGTGTTGGCCCAGGTTATCCCTAGGATGTTCACAGCCCCAAAGCCAGTGACACTACAGTCTCTTCCTCCCCAGCCCTCTGTACTTTGATTTTTTTTTTTTTCTTTTCAGTTTGGATAAAGCTGGAACAGCCTGCAGAGGCCTTTTTCACAAACATAAGACATATGGGCCAGAACTGGCTTAATATGAGTGGAGCCAGTCAGATCTCACAATTTCCAAGGCCATCACAACTTTTGAATTCTAGCTATTAAACAAAAAGAATGAAATAAATGGATTTTGTAAATGGAAAAAAAAAGAAAGGTAGAGAAAGAGAGAGAGAGAGAAAGAAAAGAAAAAGAAAGGAAGGAAGGAAGGGAGGGAGGGAGGGAGGGAGGGAGGGAGGAAGGAAGAAAGAAAGGAAGGAAGAAAGAAAGAGAAAGAAAGGGAAAGAGGGAAAGAGAGAGAGAGAGAGAGAGAGAGAGAAAGAAAGAAAGAAAAAGAAAGAAAGAAAGAAGAAAGAAGGAAAGAGAGAAAGAAAGAGAGAAAGAAAGAAAGGAAAGAAAGAAAAGAAAGAAAGAAAGAAAGAAAGAAAGAAAGAAAGAAAGAAAGAAAAAGAAAGAAAGAAAGAAAGAAAGAAAGAAAGAAAGAAAGAAAGAAAGAAAGAAAGAAAGAAAGAAAGAAAGAAAGAAAAAGAAGAAAGAAAGAAAGAAAGAATTGTCAGTCCCGAAAGCTGGGTTGATATTCAGGGCATCCCATGGAACCATCAGGCAAGAGGGATACGAGGTTCTAGGACTAATCCCTCATTAGAAACAAGGTCAGCTCATGATGAAAAAGCCTTGAACATCCTAATGTCATTGGCGTGGCGCAGGATGAGATACCAGGCAGTCCCCAGTAGTAAGGGCGGCTACATTAGTCATATGGCAACAAGGAAGAACACTGAGAGCATGTCACTGAGGGAAGAGGAAAGCCCCTGGCGTGCTGGCTATTTCACAGCTGCCAGCAAGCTAGGAAAACAGCCATTTCAGGGGGGAGGAATTGGGTGTAACTTTTTTCTCTTTCCAAAATGTTAAATATTATTGTTGCTTCTTTTTTAAACACAAATTCTGGCAGCTAGTTAAAACCTAAAACCAGCCCTGTGAGGCAGAGCTTAGGCAACATGAAGCAACAGGAGTCTTGTGTTTTGCAGAAAGCATCAGGAAGAAAGTAAATGCTGACCCGAGTGCCCCCAGGAGGTGCACAGCCATGTAACCAGAGGGGCTGGACCTTCAAGAGCCTGGGACCTCAGAGGGGGGCCACTGAAGAGAAGACGACCACCATTTAAGGGCTTTAAAAAAATCACTGTTAACAAACCTTCAGCTGCTTTTACTGAAATGCACAGTCATACAAGGCCAGCAGGCAAATGTTTGCAATTTCTTTCACAGTGATTGGCCCAGGAGCCTGTCTTAGGTTTTGCAGGTAATCCCTTCCTATAGGTATGGTCCTCTGCAGGTAATCCCTTCCCATGGGTATGGTCCTTTGCAGGTAATCCCTTCCCATGGGTATGGTCCTTTGCATCTCTCAGCTCACTTTCATCTCCATTATCAGAGCCTCAAAGGGTGCAGGGGGCTCAGGCTAGATAAGCAGCTAACCAGGCAGTGAGGTCAGGTGGCAAACCCAGCGTTCCCGTCTCTCCAACCTGGGGCAGGGCTCCATCCGTCACTTACAAAATGGACCGCCCTTAACTCGTTCACTGGCTTTTAGTGATGCTGTGCTTACTCCACAGCTGTTTCTGTTCCCAAGCTTATTTGTACACTTTGACAGTTCCAAGAAGCATACACTCTCACTTTTTCCCTCTTGTTTAAATTTTTTTTTAAGTTTTATAACTTTTTTGAAATCGTTTCAGACTTAGAAAAATGTTGCAGAAATAATACAAAGAATTTCCAAACACTCTTCACAGTACAGCTTCCCCAAGTATTCACATCTTACATAACAGAGGATAATTTCCAAACCCAAGAAATGAACACTGATACAATACTGTCAGCTTATCTTCAGACCTTAGTCATTTTAGCCATTCATGTCCTTTTCCTGGACCAGGATCCAGTCCAGGATCACACCTTCCATTAGCTGTCATTCTCATTTTTATAGCCCCATACAAAGCCTCAGTTCCCGGGAGCAGCTCTATTCAACCAAACTTTCTGCGCCGATGGGAATGTTCTGGATCTGTGCTACATAGTATGTTTGCCACTAGCTACCTGTGGCTATTAAGTACTTGAATTGTGGCAAGTGGAACTGAGGAACTGAGTTTTACATTTTATTTCATTTTAATTATTTGAAATTTAAATAGATACCTGTGGCAAGTGGCAGCGTATTGGACAGCACAGCTGGTCTGGAGTTTCACTTTTAGGTGACATGCAAGCGCCAGTTATTGTGCAGCTCGGCCACACCAATCCGAGTGTGGTTCCAGGGAAATGCAACTTTGGAAGCTTCACTGTTTCACAGCATGTGAAGGTACCTGTGCTGGAAGCCTGGAAGTTCTGCCTGCCAGCTGTTTCTAATTCAAGCTCTCTGGCATATGGCACAGATGGCGATGGCCAGTGGGGAGCCCACATCTTAGAAAAACTCACAGAGTTTCCCATTGGGCCTGAGTCCTGGGAAGGAGATAGAATAAAAACTGTTGGAGCTGAAAGGGGTTTCAGCTATTACACATGGCTGGTGGGAGTTCACAATGGTACAATCCTCCGAAAAGCATGTGGCTTTATCTACCAAAATTATAGGTACATTTCCCCTGTGACCTGGCAATCCCACATCTGGGAATTGACCCTACAGATAAACCTGCAAACCTCATACTAACACTAATGCAAGTTAACACGGGAAACTGTTGTGGAGAGGGGTATATGGGAACTCCGTACTATCTGCTGTTTTTTAAAACTTTTTAAAAATAAAGTCTATTCGTAAACATACACACACAAACTAAAACTTTTGAAAAGAAAGAGAGGCTTTGAAACCAGCCCATTTTACAGGCATAACTTGATGATCTGAGAGGTGTGTCTTGCCTGAGACCTCGAAGTTCACATGAAGTCAGACCCAGAATAGCGCAGCCTCTGTGCATGTGGCACCCGTTCTCTGCACGTGCTGTGTGGAGGTGGAAAACCCTCCTCTTCCATCTTCCATTTGGGAAAGGTGTTTTGTACCACATGGGACTTGAATATTTTATCTGGATGAATTTTGCACAATGAATTTTGTATTTTTTTTGAGAAAAACAGCAAGTTCTTAAAATAAAAATTGAAATGTTGAAATAGTTCTCAAATTCAATACTTGTTTCTTTTATTTGGGAGATCTATGGCAAAATCTCAAACCAAACCAGGATTGGTTCTGTGTAACCACAACCGTTCAACTCACTATCAGCAGTCAGTGCCTGGCAGTCTGCTGGGAGCTGGGGAGTGGAGCTGAGCAACTTAGTCTGGGTGGTGGAGGGGCTCAGATACCAATAATGTAATATAATGTGGTTGGTGCTGTAATGGGTGTATGTAGAGAACTGTGGGATTTATTCTTCCTTGGAGAAGGTAAGGGGGAGGAAGGTGAGAGGCTCACAGAGAAGACAGAAGTGAGCAAAGCACATTCCAAGCAAAAAGGAATCTATTTAGTGGCACGGAGGTGCAGAGATGCATCTGGAGAACGGTGTGGCTGGAGCACAGGAAGCATGGAAGGAAGAGGAGAGATGAGCTGGAGGGGCAGGAGGGCTGTGAGGGGCCGGGTGTGCAGAGGGGTGGGCCTTTTCAGCCCTCTGTTGAGACTATTCCAGTGGGCACTAGTTGTCCCAGAGCCCCCCCACCCTGTCAGCCTGCGTCACAGATGCCCAATCTGTCTTCCTTCCATAACCTTCCTTCCTTTGATCTTTGATAAACATCTTGCACCCAAAGTTTCATCTCAGCATCTGCTTCAGTCTGAGACCTGGGGGTGGAGGTGTGGGGAGGGGGTCCAACATGGCTGAGTGGAACAGTGGTGCTGGGAACTGAGGTGATGGGGTTTGGGAGAGAAGAGACAGGTTTGGGCAGTGGGGACATGAGTGGCTTTTGCCAGTAGAGTCTGGGATGCCTGCAGCCTGGTCTGGGCGGTGGAGGGGCCTAACAGGTAGACATTCAAGGCCAGCACCTGAACTTGGTCAGGGCTAGAAATGACAGTCGTCAGGGTGTAGAGCCAGGGAGCAGCTAAAGCTGTTGAGGGCCCTGACTCACAAAGGGAGAATTTGAAAAGAAAGTGGAGGGCAGTCCTAGTTCATTACTGTACCAGGTGAGGGGTGCGGCTCACCACCTGTAGACTGGCCCTGCCCACAGGAGCTCCCTGTTTGTTGGGAAGTCACACACAGTGAAACTATGCAAGGAAGACTCAATGCTAAGTTAAAAACAGCAAGCCCTGCCTTCATGGTTTACCAACTGCTTCCCTAATTCACGACCATTGTCAAGTTACGAAGAAATAAGAAAGACACTGTGGCCTCTGTGGAAAAATCACCGGCTTTAGGGATGGTCAGACCCAACTTGGCCACTCCTTACTGTGTGACGCTGAGCAAGTCTCTTGACCTCTCCCAGTCTCCATGACCTCACCTGTAAAATTAGTTTAAAATCTGAAAAAGTATGACCAACTCAATATTTTGAAAACTTAAAGGGAAAGAAGCATGGATGCTGATTTTTTTGAACCTTAGAGAACCAAATAGTTAATGAGGGAAAGTTATAGTTGTTTTTTGTGTAACTAGGGAATTCCAGTTAATAAGTGCAGAAGGAAAGATAAAAATTCAAGTATTGTCACTGCTCTGTATCCCCTAATGAAATGATGCTTCTGTACAGTGCTCAGCAGTGACAGCTAAACCATCAGAGGAATTTTCCAATGACTGATCAGGCTGACAACGCCTGAAGCTGAGCAATCTTAAGAACTTAGACACAGACAGATATTATGTGCCCTCTAAAGTTCCCAACAGGAAGCACACAACTCCACCTATGGATTCCTGCCAAAAAGAATGAACTTGAACCTGCTCAAGCCTCTACATATAACTACCTACCAGTTTATGGGAAATACCAGGGACAGAGAAACAAGTTAAAGGACACTGTGAGGTTGCAATCAGCCAAATCCAGACTGTGGTGAATTCTATAGGGCAAACAAGCCTGTTTCTTCAACAAATAAATGGCAAGAAAAAAAATAGAGGGCAGAGGAACTTATAGTTTAGAAGAGATTTAAGAGACATTTCAATCAAATACAACGTGTGAACTTTGTATGGAAACTGATTAGAATCAGTCAGTCATAGACGTGTATGAGATAGTCGTGAATGGGAACACTGACTCATGATATGAAGGAATTGTTGATTTTTTTTTTAAACATATCTTTATTGATTTCAAAGAGAGGAAGGGAGAGGGAGAGAGAGAAACATCAATGATGAGAGAGTCATTGATCGGCTGCCTCCTGCATGCTCCCGACTGGGGATCGAGCCTGCAACCCGAGCATGTGCCCTGACAGGGAATTGAACCTCAGTCTCCTGGATCCTAGGTCAGTGCTCAACCACTGAGCCATGCCCAGCTGGGCTTGTTGGTGAATTTTTAAGTGTGTTGATGGTATTATGGTTATTTTATCTCTTGAAAGTATGTACAGAAATAGTTATAGATAAAATCATACGGTATCAGAAATTGCTTTAAAGTAATCCAGTGGTGGGAATAGGTGTGGAAGAAGTGACGATTGGGTAAGAGATGACACAACACTGTCCATGACTTGATAATTTTTGAAGCTGGGTGAGTGGGGCATGTTTCACTATATTATTTTCTCTACTTTATGTGTGTTTAAAATTTTTCATGAAGGGGAAAAAAAGATATGAAAACTAGCTGGCACATAGTAGCAGCTCAATAAATGATAGCTACTGTTATTTTACCATGGCAAACTGTGCTTAAAAGAGATTAAGTAACTTACCTAAAGTCACACAGAATTGGCAAACACCACGGTCTGCTTCTCAGAAAGTCCTATGTCTGTGTAGTCTGGTCGGGTAGCTACAATAACCAAAAAAAGCCACTCACTGAAATTGAATTTTTATTCCAAATGACTGTAATGCCTAGAAAGATAACAGCGAAAACTCAAAACAATTTACATAACTGGAAATTTGAAGTAGTTGACCTGCAGGAGAGCAAACAATGTGACAAGAGCCTTGGTACTCTGGTAACGGTTATAACCAAGATAGCATACAAATAATCAATGTCCTTCTGACACACAATCTGGATGTGCGGTATTTATAGCAAATAACATAAAAAGAAAGGAAGAAAGAAAAAAAGACAAGGAAAAAAATTCCCCCAAAATCCCAAACCTCAGAAATTAACATTCACATAAGGACACAAGGGTGAAGACTTTTGGTAGCAAAATGTTCACAATTCTTAAAATGGGAGTCTTCAAAAGTACTTCTTCAAATTCAAAAGCTAAAAAAACCGAAGAGGGAACAGTTACACTGGCTTAGAAGAGCTGCTGCCTGTCACGAAGGTGACAATCAGTCCTACTTCCAAACAGTGATAGCCCAACAACTGAGCAGAGGGGCCCCCTGGCGGGCACCGACGTCACTGATTGTACAGGAACTGGCTGGATCCCTGTCATCGCCAGCCAAAGCCCCGGCTACTGCTCCTCCTGACTGAGGCCCAGGTTGCCTTTCTGCACCTCGAGTTCCTCTGCACTGACCATCGACGGGTCGATGGCTGCGTATTTGGTTCCATGGAATTGCAGCAAATGTATCTGTAGAAATGCAGAATCATTACTGTAAATGTCACCATAGTATATAAATGCTTTGTACTTCTAAAATTACAGAGTAATACATACAAATTAGAGAAAAACTGGAAAACACAGAGAAGTCAAAGAAGTATTTTTAAAAACTACAATTTGGGATCTTTGTTCCTTCTCTCCAAGTTCCTACGAACTCTTCATAAACATCTTAAATGGTGCATCTGCTCCACGAGCAGGTGTCTACCCTGCCCCTCTGCTGCTGCGAGGCCCTTCCAAGCCTCTGCTGTTCTGCCCAACACCATGATGAATGTCTCTTGGAATCAAGTGTTTCTGTATTTAGGATCCTCTCCGTAGGATCCATTTCCACAAGCAGATGACAGGATCAAAGGACATGACTGTTTTTTTAAGAGTCCTGGTACTTGCTGCCAAATTGCCAAAGCAATCATTTCTCACCGGTATTCTAATCCCACTCAGGTGGAAGATGAGGAGGTGGCTATGTGTTATTTTTGGCATTTTTTTCTTTTAGTTAATCCTCACCTGAGGATATTTTTTCCATTGCTTTTGTTCTTCAAGAGTGGAAGGGAGGGAGGGAGGGAGGGGAAAAGAGAAACATCTGATGTGAGAGACACATTGATTGCTTGCCTCCTGCACTCACCAGGGATCGAACCTGCAACCCAGGTATGTGCCCTTGACTGGGAATTGAACCCATGACCCCTTGGTGCGTGGGCCAACGCTCTAACCACTGAGTCCAACCACTGAGCAACACTGGCCAGGGCTTGTGTGCGTGTTTTTTTAATGCATTACAAATAGACCAAGAAGCCCGGCGGGCGTGGCTCAGCAGTTGAGCGTCGACCTAGGATCCAGGTGATCGGGGTTCAATTCCCGGTCAGGGCACAAGCCCGGGTTACGGGTTCGATCAATGACTCTGTCATCATTGATGTTTCTATCTCTCTCTCCCTCTCCTTTCCTCTCTCTGAAATCAATAAAGATATATTTAAAAAAAAAAAAAATAGATCAAGAAGTCACTTCATGGAATTCAGCTCGATCCCATTAAGGTCCAGTGTCCTGCTCTGACTGAATCCATTGCGTCCAGGAGGCAAGGTGACATCCTACCAAATGGCTGCTTCGGTGTGGAGGCAGGTGGGCCTACTGTTCTTAGAAAAGGGATGGTGGGCGGAGACTCACCCGGGGATCTCTAAATACCTGCTCGAATTCTCCTATAAATTAATGGAAACCAACTTGATTGAATCAATGCTCATTCCTACAGGGAATTCTGTAGTTCTCTTACTCCACCACCATCAGAAAAAAAAAGGCTTTATGCTTCAAACCATACACTTTGGGCTCAAAGTACTCAGGGTTCCAAGCTGGGACTCACCTGTACATAAAGGTTCACCTCTGCACTTCTGCACAAGTATGGGAAATTGCCTCCTGTTTTAAGGTGAGCCCTCCGCGCATTAGGATACAGTTTGTACATTTCTTCTTTAGCTTCAGTTGAAAGTGCACTCTGGTCAAATACCTTTTAGAAAAAGACAAGGTTGAAACCTGCTGGTATTTTAATATGTTCTTTTCACATTATGGAAACTGCTCCCTAAGCATTTCTTTCTCATGAAGAGACACTGCTGACCCCTGTGCAGTCTGGGCCACCTCTTCCTGCTGACCCCAGTGACTCTGATTCCAACGTAAGACATTAGCTACAGTTTTGCTGCCAAAGGTCTCTTGCATCCTTTGTGCGGTGGGGTGAGGTGAGGGGATTCTCATATGAATTTCCTTTTTCCTCAAACATAGCTAACTGAATTAACAATATTAATAGTGAATCATCATTGAAAATGCCAATTAATTTTAAAAGGATCATAAAACTGCAAAAGAACTTTTAAACTTATTAGTTTAAAACAGCTACATAAGTAGTATATGCTCAGTGAAAAAAAAAGAAAATCCAAAGAAGTTTAGAGTTTCCTGAGGGAGCCACTGCTAGCAGTTTGGGGCATATGATTCTACATTTTCCAATGTCTATAAAAAATGATGTTTATACACATATGCAAAAATGTTTTTCAAAAAGTAATTTAAAAGAAGCAAAAAAAAAAAAAGCATCTCAACTTGCTAAAGCTTATAGACAGTTCTCAGTAACCATGTATCCAAGTGGTAGGCACAGTTTTAAAAGGTGAGCAAGCAGAACAAATGCACCCTGAGAAGCAGACACTTCGCCAAGAGCCCTGAAAGGCTGGCTCCCTGCCACGGTAAATGTGAAAAATGGTAAGAAGTTATTGTATACATGCTTATAATAAATAATTTCCTGACAAAATCAACTAAAAACACCCTGTTATCTGAATTTTGGAATAAATCTATTTTTGAGGCAAAATAGTTATATGATATTAAAGAATATATAAGCCCAAACCACAATGAAATACCACTTCACATCCACTAGGATGGCCATTATCAAAACAACAGAAAATAAGAAGTGTCACTGAGGAGAGGGGACAACTGGAACCCTTGTGCATTGCTGGTGGAAATGTAAAATGGTACAACCACTGTGAAAAATGGTATCATGGTTTCTCAAAAACCTAAACACAGAATTACCATGTGACCCCAGCAATTCCACTTCCAGGTATATACCCAAGAGAATGAACAGTGCGGACTCAAACAGGTATTTGTACGTCCACGTTCAGAGCAGCATTATCCACAGCAGCCAAGAGGTGGGAACAACCCAAATGTCCATCAACAGATGAATGGACAAATAAAACGGGGTACACACACGCAATGGAATATTACTCAGCCTTAAAAAGAAATGACACGCTGATACGCGCTACAACACGGCGTGGGGACTGGGAGGAGGGGCGGAGACTGGGGAGCTGCTGTCCAACGGGCGCCGGGTTGCAGTCTGGCACGATGAAAACTTCTGGAACTAGGCAGCGGGGATGGCTGCACAACACTAAATGTACTTAATGCCACTGAACTATACACTCAAAAATGGTCAAAATGGTCAACTTTGTTATGTATATTTTACCATAACTCAAAAATCTAAGAAGTTTTTGTACTAATTAGATGTTATGGAATTCTTGTTTCGCTGCCCTCCCCAGGGCACCTTTTCTTTGCTGTCCAGATGTGTAATAGCCAAAGTGCAATATCTGTTGGTAAGAATGAAAACACATCAAAATGGGTAAGAACTACCACATTTGTTTAAATTTATTCTCATTTCAATGGTGTTATTCCTGCTAGGAGTTGTTTTGGAGTTAAGAAAGCTGAGGAGTAAAAAACAAAATCCAAGGCTGCATTTGAAAAACACTGAAAAATAACAGAATAATTATGAGGAGGATCTGGACATATACATTTAAAAAGATAAAGCATCTATTTTACTTAAAAGGAAGCTTACATCCATAATGGTTACAGGAATGTCCCGAATTTTATGAGGTTCCACATAAGAATTTTGACAATTCAGGGTAAGTCTCGAAGCCAGTTCGCTCTGACCCAAACTTTCCAGCTATAGAAAGAAACACAGGTAAAGTTATTGAATTAGTTTTGTTTTTCATATTTTCATTAAATCTACAGATAATATTTGTTCTTATAAAGGAGGTATCATGTGTAGTGGGGCCAGAAAGGTCACCGATAAGGAAGCACAATGTATTTGAGAGCTATCAACTAGGCCTCTCAGGTGGTGGCATTCTTCTGTTCTGGGAGCCTGGCCTTTCATAGTCTTCAACCTCAACTGCTTCTTCAACTACGTGCCTGTGGGCAGCATGTCAATTCCCGCAGCCCAATATGATAAACATTTAGGAGATCTTAGAGCTGACTAAGACCTCAGAAAAATCATCTAACCCAGTATTTTCTAAATACAAGTCTAGCACTGGCCAGGTAGCTCAGTTGGTTAGAGTGTCATCCCGATACACCAAGGCTGCAGGTTCGATCCCTGGAGCAGGGCACATACAAGAATCAACAAATGAATGCATAAATAAGTGGAACAACAAATTGATGTTTTGCTCTCTCTCTCGCTTTCTCTCTCTCCCTTCTTTTCTCTCTCCAAAAAATCAATAAATAAAAATAAAAATAAATGCAAGCCTATAGACCTGCTACATCAGATCCACCTGGAGGAAGCTGAAGAGGGAGTGGAATAAAAATGTAGGAATCCCAGATCCCATGCCCAGGAATTTCAGTTCCATGGTCTGGTGTGAGGCCTTGGAATCTGTATTTTGAAAAGCTCTCCCCAGTGATTCTGATGAATTACCAGCAGTAATGTCTTTGGATATTTTAAAGTTAATATGGAAGACTACTTAACGAGCACCTCTAATACATGTTCAACGAGATAGATGTACCTTCAGGAACCAAGCAAACATGAAAACTCCCAGTACAAGATGTCCCCACCCCAATTCGATGATCCTTACCCTGTCCACCATGAAATCAATAGCATCAGCCATCACAGGGTCCACTGGGCCAGATGAAAAGTTTCCAAGAACTATTTTTTTGAGCATAAATGATGGCATCAGCCAAAAGCTGTAAAACAAAGACCTGATAATTTAAACTTCGAAGACTACAAAAATAGTAAGAATTTTGGCCAAATGTTTACATTCTTACCTGTTTGCAGTCCAAGTTTGGTTAAAGATGGAGGTGTCACTGAAGGAATTGCAGAGAATGAGGGAATGGACTCTGGGAGATTTGTGAGTATATTCAGCAAATTTCTGGGCCAAAAAGCCTCCCAAAGAAGCCCCAAAAAGATGAACCTAATTGTAAACAAACACAAGGAGGATCCTATAACAATGATCAATCCTGAACATAAATATAAAAAAAGTTGTTTTAACAGTCACCAACCACAGAATACACTGTCACTACTAGCCAATAAACTAAACTAACTATAGCAGTTAGAATTTTAGGAAGTATTGTATATAAATGCAATTTATACATTCCTCACGAAAATAAAACAACTGTGCATAAGGTGTTAAAAAAAAGGTGTTCACAAATGAAACCACTTAGCAGTTTCTGTTTAAGAAAACTATGAGTCAGTAATTCCACTCTATCCCCAAGAGAACTGAAAACACATGTCCACACCAAAACTTATACATAAATGTTCACAGCAGTGTTATTTATAATAGCCAAATATTCTGGAAACAATCCAAATGTGCACCAACTAATGAATGGATAGACGAAATGTGCTATATCCATACAATGAGATACTATTTGACAATAAAAAGGAATGAAGGAATTATATATGCTACCACATGGACGAACCTCAAAAACTTTACGCTAAGCTAAAGAAGCCAGTCAGAAAAGACTGATTTCACTTACACAAAATATCCAGAACAGGCAAGTCCACAGAGACAGAAAGTAGAGTAGGTTGCCAGGGTTAGGGGGAGGGCAAGTGAAGAGTGACTGCTGGGTATGGGGTTTCTTATTGGAGCAAGAAAAAGTATTCTAAAATCGACTGTGGTGATGACTGTACATATCTGTAAAAATACTAAAAACCTTTGAATTATATACTTGAAAAAGGGTAAATTGTATGGTATGGGACTTTTATCTCTATGAGCTGTTATTAAAAAATAAGAGAAAGACAACACCAGGCTTTATAACGCAAATGCTGCATTAAAGTCACATGAAAGTAATTCGTTTCATGGTACTCACTTTATCCAGTTGTAAATGGTCTAAAAGCTTTCTGAATCCATCACAGAATTCAAGATGGTCCCAATAAACTGGATATTGCAACTGAAATAATAAAGAATTTAAAACTTATTTATTTAACTCCTATATATCTGAAAAATTTAGGACTCTCATAATAGCATTTCTCAGTTGCTTAAGCTCTGCTCCTTATTCAAAATATGTGAAAATACGTTTCTCACCTCCTCCTAAACTTCAAAATTCACGTTTTATCTAACAGACCGATTTTAAGAAGGAAAAAAAAGCAAACACACACCATTGATAGTATGTGAATAACAATTTCAGTTCACATCGCTTTCCTTTCCAAACAGCTGAGAAACTTGGAGGCTCAAAGGTGCACAGAGCAGAGCCCAATCAAGTAAAGAAATACCGTTTCCCCGGAAATCCAAATTCATTCTGAATTATGGCTCAGGAGAACCAGAAACAAAACCTGTTCTAAAGAGTGTTCCCTCTCTTTTGGGTAGCATTTCTTTCAGGGAGCATTCAATAAAATTGTTCCTTTTCTTTCAATTGACTTAATTAGTCTGTATGATTTCTTGAACTTTTTTTATGACCAAAAAAGTATGGTGCTTGACCCTAAGTCACCTGTTTATTAATGCTGATGAGGAGGAAAAAAAGAAATACAAATACTAATTCTTTTCTAGGAAACTCAAGCTTGTCACCTAAGAATTCTTTTTCTTCAATAATATGTAAGACCCATCTGGCAGGCTTGTTGTTTTAAATACTTAGATTCATTTTGTCATTAATAATAATTAAAATAAATGCTGCCATGTAAATTACAGGATAATTTCAGATTTGACATAATGTGTTACTTTTACTATAATAATTCCATTTGTGGATAAGATTCTGCTATTTTGAGACAGCATGGAGAACAGAGTCTCCCTGGCAGAAAATTTGAGTCAAGAGAGAGATGATAGAGAGAGAAGGAGGGAGAGGGAGAAGGAGAGGGAGATGAACACTGATGCGAGAGAGCAACATTGATTGGTTGCTTCCCATACCCACCCCAACTGGGGACTGAACCTGCAAAACTTTTTGGTGTACAACGGGACGACGCTCCAAACTACTAAGCCACTCGGCTGGGGATAAAACCTTTAATTTAAAAATATCTGTGTCCAGGACAAGTGAAAAATTGTATACTACTTATTACACACGTAATTGAGTATAAGTAAGACTGGAAAATCTGAATAAGATGGGTGGATTATATTAGTATCAATACTCTGGTTGTGATATTGTATGACGTTTTATGAAATGTGACCACTGGAAGAAACTGGGCAAAGTGCAAAGGGATATATTTCTGTATTATTTCTTACAACTGCATGCGAATTGTAGATTTCATTTAAAAATTTTAAATTAAAAACGTATCTGTGCATTTTAACTGCTAGATGCTAACAAATATCTAATAAGTTTCAAAACCTCATGGTATTGGGCATTCTGTTCAAATTGTAAGGACAAAGTAATTTTGAAACACTGTTGGCCTTTGCTTCATTGATTATCTAGCTAATGAGATAGGGAAATCCCACATCAAGAAGCTTGACGGCAAGAAGAAATACCCAGCTAGAAGGCAAGATATCAGGACCTGCCAGTTTGGAGTGATACAGTCAGCTTTCCACAGCGCTCTAAAGTGGGACAGAGGCCTGGGGGCTCCTCCTCCCTGGCTGATAACAGGGGCCGCAGGAAAGGTAGTCATGTGTGAGGCTGCAGAGAGGTGGGATGGGGGCAGTTACCACCCTGCTCTCATGGAAGGCTGTCCACTAAGAGGGATTACTGAAACCCTAGAACAAGAGAGACTCAAACATGCCCTATGAGTAATGGCTCAAGAATCTTGAGGGATTTAACCAGGGAAGAAAAGACCTGGGAGGAAGGTAGCAGGCAGTGCTCGCTGATAATAACCAGTTTTCTTAAGAAAGAAAAGGGCTGTCAGGAAGGAGGAAGAGGAATTAGATTTGTTTTGTGTGGCTCCAGTTGGTGGTGCCCTCAGTAGAATTTTTGGTTACCTTTCAAGAGAAGAGATCTGGCCCACATTTTCTTTCCGTTAGACAGTAAATAAAATGTATAACAACAGTAGTCCCATGGGAAGTACCATTTACATGTTAATATTCCAGGTCCCAGAAACAACTGCCAGCTCCAAAGCAAAAATCTCTCCTTCCTTGGAAGTTAGGAGACCACCCTCCATTGTCCTTACACAGTCGAGGTGTGCCAAAAAAATGTCACCAGCAACAGTGCCTTCCCCACCCACACCTTTCTCCCAGAGAAGACTCAAGAATGATCAATGGGAAACTATATTGAGACCAGACTCAGTGGTAAAATACAACTAAAAACCAAAAAGTTCNGTCAATGGGAAACTAGATTGAGACCAGACTCAGTGGCAAAATACAACTAAAAACCAAAAAGTTCTTAATCAAATGCTGAGGACACGAGCTAATTAATGAACCTCCATTCAACTGTCAAAGATGTACATTAAAGGAAGCTTTCGGTCACCTGCATGTTAGCAGATCTCTTCGCTGTCTAATATGCCATGCTCACCTCCCGGGAGCAGTGGTGTAATAAACAAGGAGTGGAAATGGAGTCAGAGGACTGAGCTTGGCTCTCCCTCTACCACTTACTGGCTGTGTGACCTGCAGTGATCAGTAAAATGGCCTGACCTCAGTTTCCTCATCTATGAACAAGGGCAATGCTTCCCACTGATCAGACTTGTGAGAAGAGCGACAGGAGAGAACGCACAGAAAAGCTGGGAGTAGAGAAGGCTTCTGACAGAAGTTTGTCCCCTCTGCATCTCTGGCTACCATAACACCTTCCTTCAAAAGGCCTCATTTCACATTTTTGCCCTGGCCGGTCTGCCTTAGTGGTTACAGCATCGGCCTACAGACTGAAAGATCTCGGGTCCGATTCCTGGTCAAGGGCACCTACCTGGGCTGCAGGTTCCATCCCAGGCCCCCGGTCAGGGTGTGTGCGGGAGGCAACCAACGGACGTGTCTCTCTCACACTGATGTTTCTCTTTCTCTGTCTTTCTCTGTCCCCACCCCCTTCCATTCTCTCTAAAATCAATGGAAAAGATATCCTCAGGTGAGGATTAACAAAACAAAACCCAAAAAATCTTCATTTCACATTTTAAAAAAGAAAAACAGTATTTTACCACAATAAAAAATGTGTCCTTTACCATAGTGGATCAGAAACAGAAGCACAAAAAACCATACAATGTGGATCTGAACTGGAATACTGAATCAGTAATACTTACAGCTATCACCCGGTAACCCCATCCAGTCAAAGCCAAAATCTGCCGGAAAAATACATCTGCAGTGCCGCTGACGGGGGGCAGAAATATGAGAGGACACCTGATATTTCTGGGACCTGCATCATAGAGTGACCAGATCTTACTGTCGTCATCATCCACGATAATCTGGAGGGAAAGTTATATAAAAAAGGAGTCTTACAGATTTGTTTTTTGTACTGTTAATTTCACACTATAATTTTGCCAACAATTTTAGTACCACTGTCTTGTTTGTTAAAAGGTAACCTGGGGATGGGGTGGAGGGGCGTCAGCCAGATTAGTACATAAAATAAACTGCTTTGGTCTCCTTTTCCTTTCTTGGTGCTAAGGAAATATTTCACAGAACTGCTTTATACTCTTCCAAAGAGCTGCTTTTTCTACCAGTTTTCAATTTTCCTTTCCATCCATGATTATATGAAGTCTATTTTGTTTACCATTAAACTGTAAACTCTGTACATGGCATCTTATTTCTTCCCCATACGTGTGTGTGTATGCTTGTGTGTGTTTGTGTGTATGTGTAGGGTGTATGTATGTGGGGTGTGTGTTTGTGTGTATGTGTGTGGGGTGTGTATGTATGTGTGTGTGTCTGCGTGTTGGAGAAGGGCAGTTTGCAGAGTCACTCTCCAGTGCTGACCCAGGGGGCTGACTGGGATGAGTCAGGTCAAAGTGTGAACAGGGGAGGCAAGGGAGAGACAAGACTTCAGGCTCTAGGGACCAACTGGGTAGAGATGGCACCACTCAGGAGATGCTTCAGGAACCTGATCTAGCCCAAGCTTCCGAAGGGGAGACTTCTGCTAGAGGAGGGACAAGGCGGGTGTGGGTGTCACTGTCCCAGGAGAATGTTTCAAACCATTCAGTCGGGTGTGGGGAGTGGATACAGGAAAAACTGGCTTTTTTTTTGAGGGGCAAGTGGGTAGAAAGGAGGTGATCAGAAACCCTCCTGATTTAATGGCTCTTGACCCAACAGGGGGGAACGATGCACATTAAATGAGCTGAGACTACTCAAGTCACCGATTCTCAGTGTTCAATAAGTGTTAGCTATTAGAATTATTCATTGTGTGTTAGTTTAATTTTTGTTTTCTTTCACTTTTGGTGGTATTTGGAAAAGTACAATAATGGCTTGAACTTTTGCCAGTGCAAATCAATATTTATCCTAATTTTACATTAAAAAGTTCAAGTCCTCCAGGTTCTACTTCCTGAGATCTCCTAGCTGGCAGTGCTGTGTCATTCTGGGTGGCAGCACACTGACCGTGGTCACTGATGTTACTGGGAGCAGACAACAGGGCAAGGCAAAGTCCAGAGGGCCCTGGCAATTCCCTTTCGGACTTGCCCAGGCCACAGGTGGTCACAATAGTATCTCACATTCATATTGTTTGTATTTTGCCATTCACATTTTTGCTTTTCATATCTTTCTGTTATAATTGTGGTAAAAATCTCTCACTTTGACATTGCAGACAGTAAATCTCAATCTTGTAGTAATAAAATTCATATGAGAAAAGATCTCTAAAGTTTGCCAGAAAATTATTTCAATAATCCAATTTGGAAGAAAAGTAAGAACAATAGCATGTTTTTCCCCCCTTTCCCTCCCCCAGTTTTACTGAGATATAATTAACATAGTATGTTCTAAATATGTCATAAATACTTGAAGGTTGTTCATCACTTCAACTTTCTCAGAGTTCTGTGAATAGCAATTTTGTCAGAATTCCTTTAGAAGACACATATCTGTTTGATAATATAAAATCTAGCCCCACAAAATGTATCAAGCAAATTTATTATGACTTTTATGAACCAAACTGACGTGACAGCTGCAAAAAATCACATCAATAAAACAACTTCCTATAACTGCTTCTAAGACTAGATAAGTTTGGGTTGTTCTGGGTCTGGTGATCAACTTGTTGAGTCCATCAAGAGGAGCTTGTATGAGTTACCTTGAGGGGATGGGACAAAGTAGAGGGACTCCAGAGGCCAGTTCTCTTTTTAGCATGGGCAATAGTTTCCGGGTAGCAAGAAGAAAGGGGGCTCCTTTTGGTAAGCAGCCAAGTACTTCCAGCTTTGAAGCCAGATTAATCTGATTTTAATCCCAACCCTACCAGGCTGTTTGACCTTTAACAAGCTAACCACTGTGAACCTCAGTTTTCTCATCTATAAAATGGGCACACCACTGCCCACTTTGTTAAACTATTGAAAGGATTAAATAAGATATCTGTGGACTTCCTAGAACAGTGCCAGGTATATAGCGGGAATTCTGTCTATACTTGGAAATTATATCTCAAGTTTCTATATGGAGAGTAATTTTGTTGTTATTTCAAATTTGCATGATACTTCCACAGCTATCTACCCTGACAAAATAAAAGACATAGATGATCTTCAGACCATAGTACTCTAATACTTTTGCAAGGGGATCAGCAAAGATTTTATACAGCCATTGTCTAGTGTGATCCCCAAACATTTAGGATTAATCTGGGACTCAGAGTCAATAGTGAAATTTCAATATAAGTATTTGGTGTTTTTGGACATTCCAGGGAAATAAAGTTTCCAGGAGATGACCATGGCAGAGTGAGTGTATCATTGCTAACAGAAGACCTCTAATGTAACCCACTGTAAATCTTAAATCTGAGGAACAGAAAAATGCTTTATAATATGACTGTGCTGTAAGCTTTCCACTAAACTATACTGAGGAATATACATATTCTTGCTTGCTTGAATATGTAAAAGTAATTATAAAATAACGACTATAGTTATACTCCCCTTTACTCTTGAGTGAGTCTCAAAAGCTGGCTGTACTTAACAGAGAAGGGGTGAACTTTATGCTCTGCAACCCAAAGTCACGACACTTGGCAATAACCTTTACTCTCAAATACTACTAAGACATAACATCTAAATCACACACAAAAACAATATAAAATTTTGCAAATAAGAGGTGTAGTAAAATCATACATACCTTTTTAAGGGGGACTGTGCTTCTAAACCAGTTATAATCAGGAGAGACTTTAATCTCTCCCATGATTAGCTGAAATGGAGGTTAACCCTGAAATAAAAGCATGTGATGTTTCATATCAAGAATTCATGTTTACATGGGAACTAAATGCAGAGTCTGGTCTAGCTATACCCACAATGCACACTTTAAAGGGTAAAACCAAGGAAATGGGCTATTTTTACCTTGTTGGTATATACTTAAACCACAGAAAACAGTTTGGTGAAATGTTATCATCATAGAGCAGGAAGGGCCCCTGAGAGATAATTATTCAAACCTCCTTTAGTCCTTCAAAAGAGGAATCTGGTCTAGAAAATTTAAACGGCTTACCAGAGATGCCATGGCTACTGCAGAGCTAGGACCAAAGGCACAACAAGCCTTTTCTGACACCAGATTGCCTGTCCTAGTTAAATGACTCCAAACTGCACACCGTCCCCTATCTTTTGTCAATATTTTATTAATCCATTTTTAATAAAGATGTTTCTGTTTGATAGAATTATAGGGAACAGTCCACACTAGAGAAAGGAGTTAATGTAAGCCTGCTTCCTGATCAATTCACCAAATGCCACAAATCTAACTGTAGTGGAACATAACTTCAGAACCTCACATGCAGTTCTTAATCCAAAACACAGAAAAATTGCTGTTCATATCGGTGTGATTAAAAATGATATAATATTCTCTGAAAGATCTATGATAATATATGAGGGTAGGCTTGAGGGCATTAGAACTGGCAACCAAACAAAACACGTGCCTTTAGAAAAAATGTGTGGTCTTTTGTTGTGAGATTAGTGATTTCCAGCTCTTATAGTTCTGTGACCTTGGAACAGTCACTGACCCCCTTTGACCTTGTTTTCTCATCCATGACTGTTTTCACCACGGTATCTCCAAAGCCTAGAACAGTGCCTGACACATAGCAGGCATTATCTGTTGACTGACTACGTCCTAAGGATACTGAACTAGGCAATCCTAGAGTCCCTTCTAACTTGGGCAACTATGGGTGTTGAACTGGCTGAGCATCTTCAATTTAAAGGCTGCTCTCCTTGCTCAGGCATGTGTGTTATGCCATAACAGGAACCTGAAATTATAGTTCCCTGTTGCAGACTCTTATTGCCAAATGAGGAACTTCCACGCATTGGTTTCAAAGGATCAAATATCTGCAACATACCCTGTCCTCTAGCCCAGGGCAAGTCTGGATTTCCTAGCAGGGCTGTGATGAGTTTGAGACCCTAGGATTTAACTTCTGGGCTGACTCTGAGCTGTCGTTTCAGAGGGCTTCTCTGGACTGACCAGGGTCAGGGGATTCTAAAACCAATGGAGCTCTTCCTCCTTCGCTCTCCACATCTCCCTCAGGCACACAGGGCACTCAGCAGTCTCAACTGTTACCTCTAACCTTGGGGGGGAGGGGGGAAAGTTGACAGATTGAACCCCAAGGAAATGTTAAGTGTAGACATCCAATATTAAACTTGATTTACAACCTTGACATTGTAATAATGGTCTCTTCTCTCAAGGCTAAGATGGTACTTTTAGAAAAATTTGTTAAAATTTTAAGTTGCTCTAAAGTATAAAGAAAATCATTAGGCAGTCTTATCTTGAAAATCACTGTGCACAGATATAGTTATTATTCATACTGAAATAAAGAAAATCATCCTTTGCATATCCATTTTCTCTTAAATATTAACATGTTAAAAAATCTTAGCCATTTGAGCTATAGGCTTTCTCTGAACTGGTTATAACTTTTAATTGAAAGCAACTAGCACATACAGTTGATTCTGGAGTATTTTCAACCTGGACAGACCTGAAACATTCCGATATCGTCTACATGCTTCCTAATGGAGACATTTTTTTACTATTGCATTACGATAAACAATTACTATTCTACAGAAGGAAATATAAAAAATGTTTAGCAAAAATAAAAATCTACTCAATAGATTTATAAAACACCTTAGCTAATTAAAATCAGAAAGCTTTCTTCTAGATTTACCAAACTTGGCACAAAACAAATTATTCAGTTTGGAACCAACTGCAACGTACTAACCAAACTACTATACACAGGCAACCCCCCTCCCCCACTGTCATCCACTTCTTCCCACAGCAATAAATACAAAGATGTTCCTTACCGCAGTCCTCAATATTATTCACAACCACCTCAGCATCATAACATTTTATAACTAATCTTGCTGGAGAGATTCCTGTGACTAAATTTTTGTAGAGGCAAGTGATTTTAACACTTGTGCTAGTTTGGCAGTACATGAAAGGTAAGACAGATAGCAAATGCTGCGTATGACCAACTGACATCTAAGTGGGGAAAAAACCCTCACTGCTGCAAAGGGAAAGCAGCTGTGAGCAGTATGAAAAGGAAGTTTGTTCTCCAGGCTCTCTTTCATCCACTAAAGGGGTGTACTTTTCCAAGTCACAAGAAGAACATTCTGTAAATGGCAAAAAGGTTAACTGAGATTGTGACCAAACTGGTTGGTATTAAAAAAGAAAGAATGTGGACCATGAGCTCAACACTGATTTGATCTCTCACAATTCGATTCTTCACAAAAACAAAAGCACCTGTTCATGCTGGCAGGGAAAGGGCTGCAGAGACTAGCCTCAGTCTTGCTCAGGGAAGCCCCTCCTCCGGAGTGCTTTGGACACCTGGCCCTCCCTGGCCCTCCGGCTGCTCCACAGTGAAACTGCCAGTATGAGTGTGCACTAAGAATTACCAGCGCTTATGTTTCAACAGAACCTGCCAGTTTACAGTCGATGAAATCACCTTTACCAATGTTTGTCACATAACTAGCTTAACTAGTCAGAGGTTTTCTGAACCTTTATCTCAACCCGTAGTTGATCTACATATGGCCAATCTGTGATTATTATTAACACCACAATAACAAAATATTGAACGGGAGACTCTCCAGGTGATGCAACTGGCTTTTTAAAGCAAGTCTCCGTTCCACACCAGTAAATAGCTATCCTTTTTTTTAGATCTCTTCAGGGGAAGATTTATTCCTTTTTCATGAACTTTTTTCCATTATCTTCTAAACCTCCTGGGAGGAAAAGCTGCCTACTTGACATTTCTTCTGTGACACCTCATCTTGTGTTCTGTCTTGGTATAAAAACCTTTGGAAAATTGCACACAGCTATTAAGTTACTCTTCAGTCTCTTGAATTTTTGTGCTAACAGGAGCTGGAACATTGTAGGTGGAGAAGCGGCATAAATGCAGAGCTCATAACTCCCCAGGAAAATGAGAAGAGGAAAAGTGAGACACTCCAGCCCTGCTACTTTTCTCAAGTCTCACTCAGCAATGACGAAGTCATTTGTCACTTTCAGGCTGAGGCACAATCTCCAAAATAACTGGCCTCTGCTCAGAGTTCTTAAAAGTTTAATGGAAAACATCTTCCTGGGCTGCAGCAGTGTAGCCCCAGGATGCGATTGCAGGAGTATGGCCTGGTCAAGCGCCCCCCACCCTCACCCCAGACGTCCTCCACACGGACCCCCATCCTTTCCCAGTCCCCCCTCCCCGTGGCAGCCACACAAAGGCAGGGTCACAGGCACAGCGACCACCCCCTGAACTCAGTCTTGCGCTCAGCCCCCCCCCACACGATCACGTGCATGGTCACATGGATCGGCCCACTCACAAAGTCATACCGACTGAGCCAGTCGCTCACACAACATACACACTCACCTGCAACCCATACACACAGCACACCACACCCCGGCTTCCTAGGCCTCGCCCACCTCTCACCAGCCGTGGCCACCCCCACGTCCTCTTTCCTCCTCCCCAAGGCCGCTCTTCCCTCCAGTACGGGAGCGGGCCGAGGAGGCGGCGGGGCCCGCGCGGGGCCGGCGTCCGGAGCGCTCAGGACCCACAGGCG